GTGGGCTGTATAGGCAGAAAGTATCTTTGCGAAGAGTGTAAATGCATTAGGAATGGATGAAGAGTGTGATGGGTTGAATGAGGGCAGTTTCAGGAGCTGGCAGTCTTGAACTCTAAAATGGAAAACAAGAGAGAATTAGAAATGAAATCTTAGCAACATGGCACATGTACAGCAGACATGATTAATTGTATTGGCTGATATTCGTGGGAGGAGTCTTCATAAGTGTATGGATGATTGTGAATGGAAGCGCCTTTGTTAATGCATGTTCCAATACTTAATGTCACAATGTGCTAGGGTTGTAGAAGTGGGCATTTGTCCTCCTGCAGGGTGGTAATTGGAAGGAGAACTGAGCGTATGGGGCGTTTCTATGCTGGAAGTCCAGGAAACCTCTTGGAGAGCTGGTGAGATGATGATGGAGTGGAGTTTAAACCCCTTACTGATATAGAAGTTTTTAAAACTCGAATGTATTTAACACAAAGTATAAGTATGAAAGCTACTCCATGGCCAGAAATGTCCTCCTCTTGTTTATTGCAGTCGAGCAGGAAATTGTTTTCTTACTGTCATTATAAACTGACTGACATTCAGGTGTATTGATATGAGAGTCACAATTGGCGTGATACAAAAGGGTTACTGCTTGATGTGTAGGTTGTCTATCACTTGCTGGGTAATACTCATTTCAGAATTTTATTTACATTTTTTTTTTTTTTTTTTTTTTTTTTTTAAATATATGTATATATAATTATTAATAAAATGTAAATATATCAACTGCCTACATCAAACTTAAAAAACGATGTTGCCACTTAATAGGAACTGTGTGAATGTAATGTTTATCATGGCTTTACTCCATCCATGATAAGTAACATGTCTATAATCTCAACATGATTATTTGGCCGGAATCAAAGTCTCTGCACGCAGTCCATTCATGAATTTGTCGGGAGAGAAGGCGGGACCGTCTCCAGTTTTGGAAAGCTCATTGGATGGTGATACTTCCCCTTTAAGCTATTGGCTCCTTGGAGTCACGGTCAAGAGTTCAGAGTGCAAAGGCCGGCGGCCATTTTGTAGATCAGATCGCTACAATGTTTATGCGTGAAAGTATGGCTCCACTCTCACCAGCAGCTGGTTTGGATATCAGTGCACCTTTTCATGGATGTATATCGACGAATGAAGGTGTTATGGAATAATGTTTATGGATTAGATTGCCTGGTCATTTGCCTTCGAACTATTTCAGCTGTCAGAATGTTATGGATCTGCTGACCAGCGGGAGGCTGAGAGGTGAGTTCTTCATTTAAAGCGTTCTATTCACGCTGATCTCGCCAGACTTCCCTTTAAAGCATGCATGTTACCGAAAGTGGACCGTTAACGTTAGGTGATCTGTGAGTTCGGCTTCTCTCCGGTGGCTTGAATCGCCGGCGTCATAAGTTTAGACGAGGTTGTGGCTTGTGTAGTGAAGGGCAGATGAAGTAGAAGATGGAAGAGTTAATATGCCGGCTTCTTGCGGGGATTCTGGCTCGATTGCTGGCGAGGCAGCTGCTGGAGTTTAGGGGAGAGCGGGGTTCTGGTTGGAGAAGTTTTTGTTGTTGTTGTTGATTGTTTGTTCTTCTATGCCAGAAGGTTGAATGATGCTGAACCGTAGTTTAAATGCTGGAGCGTTTGTAGCGGGAAGCATTCTTCCAAAATGAAGATAGTGCAATGGGGAGAAAGTGATCCATTTATACTAAGCTAGGATCATTCTGATTGGATTATTACTGATTACGGATGAGTGGCCAGCGGTGCACAATCATATCACGTGCTCCTCTCGAAATTAGTTTATGAAACTTCACTTATTTGAGATAATTTACATCCAAGTCAGGTGAACTGTATAGGAATTACAACAGTTTACATTTGTGCCTCCAACTTGTTAAGGGTCCAATAGTAATTGGAAAATTGGCTTATAAGCTGTTCCATGGCCAAGTGTGTTATTCCCGTATTATCCCAATTACAATGAGCAGATAAAAAGTCCTGAGATCATTTTAAGTGTGCTATTTGCATCTGCAATCTGATGCTGTCAACTCTCAAGATGAGATCCAAAGAGCTATCACTATCAGTGAAGCAAGCCATCATTAGGCAAAAAAAAAAAAAAAAAAAAACTATCAGAGAGAAAGCAAAAACATTATGAGTAGCTAAAACAACAGTTTGGAACATTCTTAAAAAGAAACCATGCACCAGTGAGCTCAGCAACACCAAAAGACCTGGAAGACCATGTAAAACAACTGTGGTGAACGACTGAAGAATTATTTCCCTGGTGAAGAAAACAGCCTTCACATCAGTTGGCAAGATCAGGAACACTCTACAGGATGTAGGTGTATGTGTGTTAATGTCAACAATCAAGAGAAGACTACACCAGAATGAATGCAGAGGGTTCACCACAAGAAGTAAACCATTGGTGAGCCTCAAAAACAGGAAGGCCAGATTAGAGTTCTAAAAAGACTTAACAGTTCTGGAAAAACATCTTATGGAAAGAAAAGATCAAAATCAACTTGTACCAGAGTAATGGGAAGAGAAGAGTATGGAGAAGGAAAGAGACTGCTCATGATCCTAAGCAGTGAAGCATAATGGTTGGAGTAACATAGCGTAGGCATGTATGACTGCCAATGGAACTGGTTCTCTTGTGTTTATTAATGATGTGACTGCTGACAAAAGTAGCAAGTTGAAGTAATTCTGAAGTTTTACAGACAATATTCTCCGCTCATATTAAACCAAATGCTTCCGAACTCATTGGACGGTGCTTCGCAGTGCAAATGGAGAATGACCCAAGGCATACTGCAAAAGCAGCCAAAGAGTTTTTAAAGGGAAAGAAGTGGAATGTTATGCAATGGCCAAGTCAGTCACCTGATCTGAATCCAATTGAGCTTGCATTTTATTTGCTGAAGACAAAACATGACGGGGAAAAAGCCCCTTGAACAAGCATGAACTAAAGACCTGGCAGAGAACCACCAGGAATGAAACTCAGCGTCTGGTGATGTCTATGCATTCCAGACTTCAAGCTGTATTGACTGCACAGTTTTTGCAACCAATTAATTAAAAGTGAAAGTTTTATTTATGATTATTATTCTGCCCAATTACTTTTGGACCTTTAACAAGTGGGAGGCACATATGCAAACTGTTGTAACTCCTATAGCGTTCACCAGATTTGGATGTAAAAAATAAACTCTAATTAAAGCTGACAGTCTGCAGTTAAAGCACATCTCCATTGTGTTTGTGTATAGAGCCAAAAATGTTAGAATTATGTCAATGTCCAAATATTTATGGACCTAACTGTATATCACTGAGAAGTGCAATAAATTAAATAAGTTTTATATACAAAGTATTTGTGTACTGCATGCATGGTTTGTTTAACCAAATGTCATAAATTAGATGGGCCTTACTATCTTCCTTATCCCCACTTCTAGGTGAACTTAGAGCTGAAAAAATTCCAGGAAACAACAAGAATTTCCACTGGTGTTTTCAGTCAATCATTGTGTTTAAAGTCAAAATGTTTGCACCTTGACATTTTTATTTAATTAGCTCAGAAAATGATTTATTAGCTGTTTGTTTTAGTAAGATCATAACACAAATAGTTTTGTTTTTATATTGCTGAACATGTTTCACACTGTGCTGAAACCAGGGTAATTGTCATTTTAAAAACTGGTCAGCACCACATTTTTCCTGTGGTTATGAAATCATGGTCCAAAGCAGGGTCAGCGCTGCACATTCAAATATTTTAAACATTCACAGAAACGTAATGAATTTTAGGCTTTGAAAAAGACAAAACATATATGTAGTTAATTGAAGTGGGGAAGAGACTGTTTCATTTATACCATTTTTCAGTCCAAGAAAAGTCTATTCAGCAAAACCTTACTGGTGGCGTTGGCATTGACTGTACAAAACAAGGATGCAGTGCATAAAGTTAAAGGAGTAGTACACAATCGGATTGTTCCTTCTTGATTTTCTTACCTTCTATTGAACACATATACATTGATAGTCACTATTGTCTTCCGTAGCAGGAACATTTTACTGCCATTTTGGCCTATTTTTATTGACTCCTTGTTCATTTTAGTGGCTGAAGTGATTTTAACATCTTAATCTTTTTTAAGTTTTAAAGGTATTAAATGGCCTGGAACTAACAAACCGCATCTTTTAGAATGACCATTCAGTGTCATTTGTCCCTTGTGTAAGGCTGAAGAGCAGGGATGACCATGTGTCAACAGTGACAGGCCCTAGACTTTAGAATGATCTGCTTTTACGTTTTAGAAAGACCTGAACATTTTCTGTTTTTAATTCTAGCTTAAAAACCAAAGCTTTATAGTCTGGTGTGATTTGATTTGATGTTAAGGAAATTCAACTACCCAAGTGGTTCTAAACTTTAATGAATTTCTGTCTTCTGTTGAACACAAAACTATAAAATAAAATAAAGCTATTGACACCCATAATAGGAACAAAAAAAACTATTTAAGTCAATGGTTGATGCTTTCCCATCTTCTTCAGAATGTATTCCTTTGCGTTCAACAGCAGAACGAAACTCAAACAGGTTTGGAACAAGTGGAGGATAAATAATTGATGGCAGAATTTTAATTTAAGAGTAACCTATCTCTTTTACTCCAGGTAAAGTATGAGCAATGTAAGATGTGAATCAATAAAACCCAGAATTCTTTTTTCCAGGGGTTTAGAATGGCCAGTGGTTAACTATTTCAAGTGCGAAAAGCACGTTAATGTAATGAGTGAACTGTGCACAATTGTGCACAAACTACTCTTATACAGAGCAAAAAACAGAAGAACTTTGTGAAGAGTATAGCTCATCTGCAGACTATTTCAGAGGCAAACCTTTGCAACCAAAGCATAATATAAAGTACTTGATAATATCTTCACACTGATTTCCTTAAGCTCTTGACTGTCTCTCAACATTACACAAACCTCTAAACATTACAATAGTTTTTTTTTTTAAACTCATTAATTTCAGTCACACCCTTCTGCTTTCTCCACAGGTTCTCGGGCGTGAGGTGTACACTTCCAATAACCAACTGGGTGGAGTACAGATCATGCACAATAACGGAGTCACACACACCAATGTGTGCGATGATTTTGAGGGAGTGTATACATTGCTGCACTGGCTGTCTTACATGCCAAAGGTATGCTGAAAACAACATGAAAGTTTCATTAAACCCAAAGAATCCGATTTCAAATCTAACAGAGCTGCGTTCCTTTAGAATATGTCCAGCCCTGTGCCGATACTCTCTGCTAAAGATCCCATTGATCGAGCGATAGAGTTTGTCCCAACCAAGGCACCTTATGACCCACGCTGGATGCTAGCTGGACGTCCCAATCAGAGTGAGTAGAGGTTAAATCCTTAGACTTAAATAAAAGTTAAAAAAAAACACTAAGGATTTAGTGCGAGTTAAGCTGCATAGACAGAATGTGACATTATTGACAGTATGTCATCTACTGAACATTGTGGTTATGTTAAAGGCATAGTTTTCTCAAAAATAAAAATTCTGTCATCATTTACTCACTCTTCATATATGACAAATCATAAATATTATGTATAAAAATATATTCAAATTGTATATATTTAAGTTTTCCTGTTTATTTATATAGTGCTTTTACAATGTAGATTGTGCCAAAGCAGCTTAACATAGAATACAAATGCAAATATACACTATATATGCACTTGCAAAGAACACTTGTATTAAAAGGGTGGTCCACTTTGATATCAAATGTTAAACTTTAGTTGATGTGTAATGTAGCTGTGTCACGATTCACAGCACATTATGTTAGCTGACCAATCAGAGCCTCTTCAGGGCAGGCTTTTGGAGGAACTAGGAAATATGACAGTTGTTTTCTTGTTAGCTAAGAAGCTGTATATAATCAAATAAGAAACAATAACGTGATTTTTTAATATTTATTTTTTTTACGAATAAAGCATGAGCATATAAACCCTATATACAAATCCAAGCCCTAAAATACACTCTGGACCACCCCTTTAAAACACTGCTAGTTTTGTATTAAACCATTTTTTACTGTTGACCTTTTTATATCTTGTGCTTTGTGGATGCGTTTTAGTGTCCAGTAATGGATGACTGTAGTTGGAGGGTTTATGTTTGAGGTACACACTAGGTCTCTCCACAAAGAGATAAGGCACTCTTGGATATATGGAGTGTTTTTTTATTGACTAGACTGATTACACATCACTGTAATTGCCACAGTGAGGTTGGGAGATATCGGGAGCGGGTGGCAGAGAGAGGAATCTTTGTCTCAGTGCTCAGACAGGTCTCAGTGTAATTGAACGGTAACCTCTTCTACAGCGAGCATATGCTTCTCTTCAGCTGAAGTCTGCATATGTCTGACAAAGAGAGGGTGCTAATGCTACTCTGATGGTCTCTTTTTCTGTAAACAGACATTAAGGGTGCATGGGTGAGTGGGTTCTTCGACCAGGGCTCTTTTCTGGAGATCATGCAGCCATGGGCACAGAGTGTTGTCGTAGGACGGGCCAGGTAAGCACTGATTGATGCATACAACAGACACAAAAAGTATTTGAACTCAAGTCTTATTACCATATGAATGCCTTTGTTTTGAGTCACAAAACAGGCATATAATGTCTTTGTATATATATATATTTTTTTTTTTTTTGAAAACTGTGCTTGTGGTATCATTCTTTTAAATAAATGGCACATCCAATATCATGCATTCACAAAATACAGATCTTTGTAATGATTAATCACACTCATCCGTGAACTTGTGTTGACCCCCTTTCCTGAATGCTTAAAGGGCTGCACTTGTCGATTGGAAAGGTCCTGCACTGATAAATGCACTTTGAAAGCTCCTTTGGGGAACATTAGCTCTATATGTCTTCTTGTGTTCTCTTTTAGTTGTTTGACACAATACAAACTGACATCGAATATGTCGATTTTGTTGAACTTGGTATTATCTGTCCACCTGATAAAGCCAGATATATATGTTTTGTTTTATTATGTTTGCATTTAAAATAAGTATTTTTATATATTATTTAAATATTATTACATATTTGTTTTAATCTTAAGTGTTGTTAAATAAAAGTAATGGCCAGGGAATGAAATGCAGTTACAAATTATAGTTAATTTTAAAAAGGGCTGCCTCCGAATGGTTAAATAAATGTTTTTCAGTGAAAAGATTTTTACATTTTTGTATATACTGTTGAAGTCAGAATTATTAGACCCCTGTTTATTTTTTCCACAATTTCTGTTCAACGGAGATAAGATTTTTTTCATCTTTTATTCAAGCCAAAATAAACAAATAACACTTTCTCCAGAAAAAAAATATATATTTTCAGACGTACTGAGAAAATTTCCTTGCTCTGTTAAACAAAATTTGGGAAATGTTTAAAATTCAAAAGGGGCCAATAATTCTGACTTCAACTGTACATATACAGTGTGGTGAAAAATTATTTAGTTAGCCACCAACTGTGCAAGTTCTTCCACTTAAAAAGATGAGAAAGTAATTTTCATCATAGATATAACTCAACTATGAGAGACAAAATAAGAATTAAAATTCAGAAAATCACATTTGTTGGGAGTTTTATGAATTATTGGTAAATTCCTCTGGAAAATAAATATTTGATCTCTTACAAACAATCTAAATTTCTGGCTCTCACAGACCTGTAACTTCTTCTCTAAGAGGCTCCTCTGTCCTCGTCTCGTTATCTGTATTAATGGCATATGTTTGAACTCATTATCAGTATAAAAGACACCTTTCCACAACCTCAAACTGTCATACTCCAAACTCAGCCAAGACCAAAGCTGTCAAAGGACACCAGAAACAACATTGTAGACATGCACCAGGCTAGGAAGAATAAATCTGCAAATGGTAAGCAGTTTGGTGTGCATTTATTAGAAAATGGAAGACATACAAGACCATTGATATTCTCCCTCGATCTGGGGTTCCACGCAAGATCTCACCTTGTGCGGTCAAAATGATCGCAAGAACTGTGGGCAAAAATCCCAGAACCACCCGGGGGACCTAGTGAATGACCTGCAGAGAGCTGGGACCAAAGCAACAAAGGCTACCATCAGTAACGCACTTCGCCGCCAGAGACTCAAATCCTGCAGTGCCAGACGCGTCTTTCTGTTAAAGCCAGTATATGTCAAGGCTCGTCTGAAGTTTTATAGAGAGCATTTGCAGGATCCAAAAGAGGATTGGGAGAATGTCATACGGTCAGATGAAACCAAAATGGTACTTTCTGGTAAAAACTCAACTTGTGCTCAGAGAAGAAAAATGCTGAATTGCATCAAAAGAACACCATACCTACTGTGAAGCATGGAGGTGGAAACCATGCTTTAGGGCTGTTTTTCTGCAAAAGAACAAGAATGACTGATCTGTGGTAAAGGAAAGAATGAATGGGTCCATGTATAATGAGATTTTGAGTGAAAAACCTTGTCAGCAAGGGCATTGAAGATGAAACGTGCCTGTGTCTTTCAGCATGACAATAATTCCAAACACAACTCACAGGCAACGAAGAAGTGGCTTCATAAGAAACATCTTATCGTCCTGGAGTGGCCTAGCCAGTCTCCAGAACTCAACCCCATAGAAAATCTTTGGATGGAGTTGAAAGTCTGTGTTGCCCAGCGACAGCCCCAAAATGTCACTGCTCTGCGAGGAGGAATGGGCCAGCAACTGTGTGTAAAAACTTTGAGAAGACTTAGAAAACGTTTTATCTCTGTCATTGCCAACAAATGGTATTTAACAAAGTATTCAGATGTAACTGTTACTTACCAAATACTTATTTTCCACCACAATTTGCAAATGAATTCATTAATAATCCTACAATGTGATTTTTTTATTTTTTTTTATTTTGTCTGTATATATAATGATAAAGTTAATATTTTGGGGTTTATTTCATTTGTACCTATTTGACAACCATTCTGTCTTGTAAACTGTAGGTTGGGTGGGATCCCAACTGGAGTAGTTGCCGTGGAAACCCGATCAGTGGAGCTTTCAATCCCAGCAGACCCAGCTAATCTGGACTCGGAAGCCAAGGTGGCCACTTATTAATAAGAAAGTAATAAGAAATGTGTCTTGTTATGTGACTTGTGGCTGGAAGTAGACTAGCATTTTGTACTCTTTCTGTAGATAATCCAGCAGGCTGGGCAAGTGTGGTTCCCTGATTCTGCTTTCAAAACTGCACAAGCCATTAAAGACTTCAATAGAGAGGGACTTCCGCTTATAGTGTTTGCCAACTGGAGAGGTTTTTCTGGAGGCATGAAAGGTTAGTCATACAGAAAGTAAACTTGGATATTCTCTTGTAAATTTTTTTTAATGGTCTCTACCTCATGCTCTCCTGCCTTCAGACATGTATGACCAGGTGCTGAAGTTTGGAGCGTATATAGTGGACGGTCTGAGAGAGTACAGACAGCCGGTTCTGGTGTATATCCCACCACAGGCGGAGCTCCGGGGAGGATCATGGGTTGTCATAGACCCTACTATCAATCCTCGCCACATGGAAATGTATGCAGACAAAGACAGCCGGTAAGAATCAGGATATAATTCTAAAAAGTTTTATTTTTTTTATTTATTTATTTTTTTGTGTGATTTAGTTTTGTTTAAATTTGTTTGGTGTAACTTCCTTTTATTTATTATTTCTTTTGCTTTTATTTTGTTTTGTTTTGTTTTGCTTTATGTTTTCATTTTATGAAAATGTTTTTAATTGGTTTTATTTACCTTGGTATAGTTTGTTCTGTTCGCAATATTATTTTAATTTTTTTTTTTTTTCTAATGGGGGGGTGCTTATATTTCATTCTTATATTTTTTTGTTTTGTTAATTTATAAGTAAATGATTGTTCTGCTTTTGATTTGATTTTATTTTTGTTTTATTTGTGTATTTATGTTTAATTTTCACTTTTTTGTTTGCTTGATTTTCTTTTGATTTTGTTTTGCCTGTTTTCGTTTAATTAAAATTTCAGTGTAACTTTGTAATGTGTTTTGATTGCTTTTGTTTTGATTTGTTTTATTTAGTTAGATTTTGTTTATTTGGTTGTGCTTCACCTTTTTATTTTATGTTTTTTTTTTATTTTGTTACGTTTAGTTTCATTAAAACAAAACAAAAATATATATTTTGTGTAGTTTTGTTTGGTATTGTTTTGTTTCGTGCTCTTCGTCACTGTACACAAATATTTATACCTTACAAGCAAGTTATTTTTAGAGAAAGCATTTTCTGTTTTAAAGGCGTTTGCTGTAATGGCCTGTTTGAATGAGCTTATCCATCAGTGTATGTGTTCTGCAGTGGCGGTGTGCTGGAGCCTGAAGGCACAGTGGAGATCAAGTTCCGCAAAAAAGACCTGGTGAAGACCATGCGACGGGTGGACCCTGTGTACATGGGGCTTGCAGAAAGACTGGGCAAGTAGTTCACATGGCTCAGTCTCAACCGAAATCAGATCTCGTTTTATTGGCTATGAACGTGTATGGTATTAAAACTCTGCTGATGGTGTCAACCCTCTCTCTTCTCCCTGAGGAGATGTGTCAATCACAAGGGTCTCCGATCAATCAAACCCTGTTGCTGTTCTGCACCTCCTCCGATCGATTACCCCCTCAGCAGTCACTAAAGAGAACCGGGCCACCAGAGTAGCCGGTGGTGTCGCTCTGAATGATTGGCTCTGATGGGATCGATCTCTCTCAAACAGCCACAGGGTGATGGGAGATCCTCTGATGGACGGCACTGTGGTGGTGTGCTTTAGTCTTGCTGATTTTCAAGTATAAAACATGGGGTCAGCACGCAGATGCAAAAATAGCCAAATTACACACGTTAGCTTAAAAAATCAGTTCACTACCGGAAGGAACATTTCCTTATTAAGTTATTTGCAACCTTGTCATGCGGATTAATTTCTTATTTTTTTAGCTAAAAAGAAATGTTAAGTTTTTGAGCAAAACATTTCAGCATTTTACTTTATATACTGTGCTCCGCATAAATAAGTACACCCCTTACTAATCTATCTTTTAAATTTATATTTTTTGTAGAAAGCTATGCAATATTATATTTGTCCAAATACATTAGATTAGTCAGTACTGAAGCCAAATCTGGTGCTTATCTAACAAAATAACTTACGATAACGTATATATCTACACCCAAATTTATATGTCATAGAAAAATATTAAATACAAATTATAAAAAGAGGAAAAATCAAAAGAAGCAAAAAAAAAATTTAAATTGAAAAAGAATTTTTGTATTTTTAAATTTTGAAGAATTTTTTTATTTTTGTAAATGTTGTATTTTGCTTGATTTTAATTGTATTATCTTTCAATTGCTAAATATGTTTTGTGACTAAAATATTATTTTAATTAATATATCTATTTAATAAATCTGTTTTGTTGAAATGCACCAAAATACATTGCCTATATTCACTGGGAAATGGATAGAAATATTTGTTTTCAAAATGTGGTGTACTCAATTATGCTGAGCACTGTAATGGATGATTACTGTGCTCAAGGGTTGGAACTTCCAATGATTCCAGCCAAGGAATATAAATATATATATATATATTTTTTAATCTAATTATATACATTTTTAAATAAAAACCTGGTGCCACAGAACTAGTGGAAGATGAGCTCTTGTGGTTAAAAAGTAGATCTCTTTCTCTCTTTCTTTTATTTCCACACATCATTTTATGTCAACACGATGCCAGGGACATGCAGTTTGTTCCAACATATTCATATTGCTATGATCAAATATTTTCTCAACTACTGCTTTTTCATCAATCATTTTTGTTGTGTTTTTGCTATCAAGGCTGCATTTACACTGCATGGTTTAAGTGACTCAATTGCAATTTTTTTCTGTCATGTGGCACAGATTGGATATAACCCATGTACGTGTAAAAAAAAAAATCATATGGATTCCGATTTACTCAAATGAGTTTCAGGCCTTGTTCATGTATGCAAATTTATCCGATATGAATCGGATCTGTGTTCTTGTGTCTTCAGTGTAAGCAGGTAGATCGGATTTTTAAGTGTTAATGTAAGCAGCGCGCATCATTAAAAACCATAGCAAATGACTTCAAGTCTGATGCTTTCATTTCAGAACAGACTTCAGCAGCATCCCAAACCTTAAATCTCATACAGGAGAACTAAATACGCTTATATATTGTCATCTAGAGAGAGCGTAACATCAGCCATGTAACCAACATAAATTATTATAAATCTGTGGCATACATCACCTGCATAAATCATGGACAAGCCATGGACAATACATTAGGATGCCTACTGGTTTAAAAAATCCTTGATTAGAAAAAGATGGACAAATAAGAACTTTTCTGTCATAAATTACAGTAAAACAACAACTTGTCAAAAAGAATTTACAACATTTAAACCATGTGAACACATTAAATACAGGAACAGAGAAAAGAGTGCTCTTTTATTATCAGCTGTCGGTCAGCATCCGCTCTTTTTTTTTTCCTGGTCATTGCGTCTTTGTCGTGTGCTGTGTAAATGCAGACAATCTGATATGAGTCACTTTTAAAAGCGGGTCAGCAAAAAATTTGGATACATTCACAAAATCGGAATTGACCATCAAGATCTGCAGTGTAAATGCAGCTCAAGAGGAACGCATGCAGCAAATTGGTTAAAATACCAAAGGTAGCAGTAACAAGCATAGATAATAATAAAGTTTTCTAATTTCTGAATTGAATCTTTTTAAAACCAAGTGATAATTAAAGTTTTGGGTGTTTTTGTTGTTTTTCGTTCAAACTTGAAGTCTGCATGAGTCGCAAGTTCCTGAGAATTTTATTTCAGTTTGTTGATGTACTTTCAGCCGAAACAGAAAGTATAGTGGGACGTGTGGCTTTCTTTTTGCACATTATTCCTTTGTAGCAGTAATAGGGGCGTGGTTAAGAATATTGTGGCTGAAGATTACCAAAACAAACATTATTTTTTTTCAGTTGAATAACTTGCATGGATTAATTCTTCACCTAATGAATAACAATTTAAATTGTACATTTTGATTTCACACAGACTTTAAAGGGCACCCATTTTACCCCTTTTACAGAATGTAAGATAAGACTTTGGTGATACCAGAATGTATCTGTAAAGATATCCATCAGAATATTATTATATACTGTAGAATCAGCCCATTTTGGTGTCTGACTACAGTGTAGCTGTTTTTGTAGCCTGCGGCTTTAAATCCAATGGCGCTGCTTTTCCCCACCTGCCACTTGTTTCTGAGTTCACCTGCTTGCTTGTCATGCGTTACGTCAGATAGACAGCAGTCAGTGATAGAGACAGTCACGGTTGAAGCTGAAATAAGGTCACTAGTCAAAAATACCAAGTGAGTTTATTTGATGTATTTCTGGAGATTATTCAAGCCTTTCTGAAATAATGAGTCACACACAAATGTTGTTTGCATTACACACACAAATGTGCACGTTTACTGACACCATGTAGCCGTGATGATTATAGTGGTTAAGAATTACATAGTGATTTTACTGTCTTTAAAACAAACATGCTGTTTTATGCCTAATTTATTTGAAAAAAAAAAAAAAGTTCTGTAACCATAATTATTGAGACATGACACCTATCAGTCAATTCAGTGGGCAGGGAAAACCACACTACTATGTCATGTTGTGGTGGGCCTTAAAATGGGAGTGATTTGGATTCTATTTTAACAGCAGTAAATTTTAAAACAGAGACGTATTGTGTTTCTATCACTCCAATATGACAGTGGACACACTATACCTACACACAGTTCTGTCCAAACAGCTTACAAAACTTGACATTTTCATAGGTGCTCTTTAATAAAAGTGCTCTTAATGTTATTTAAATACTTTACAATTGTTTCTTTCAATTTTAATTTTTTTTTCAATGAATTAGTAGATGTAAGTTAATAACTATTAACAGTAACGTTGCAACTTACTTATTGTTTACCCATTTAACAATGTAATACTGTTTACAATTTTACAATTTAAAAACATGAGCCACAATAATGGCAATTAAGATTTACCATTTCTTATGGATTGATCTTTCTTCCGCAAACAAAAAAATCTCATTAAAAGGTTGTTGCTAAATATTATATCACAGGGTGGCCTTACTGATATAAGGTGCATATGTTTATATACATTCTCCACACTATTAAATTTGTTCATTTGTTTTCCTCTGTGTAATCAGGAACCCCAGAGTTGAGTGTGTCTGAGCGTAAAGAGCTGGAGAGTAAACTAAAAGAGAGAGAAGAGTTCCTGCTGCCCATATATCATCAAGTAGCTGTTCAGTTCGCTGACCTTCATGACACACCGGGCCGCATGCAGGAGAAAGGAGTCATCACTGTCAGTACACTTCAATGCATTTCAATAACTCCCAAATACGTTTCTATTCATCTTTCTCCATACTGAACAATCTGAAGTTCATTTTATCTGTAATTGTCATGAATTTATGTGTACTCGATGTTCGCTTGTATTGTGCGTGTTCAGGATATCCTTGAGTGGAGCACGTCTCGGCAGTTTTTCTACTGGCGTTTGCGGAGGTTATTGCTGGAGGAAACGGTGAAGAGGAAGATCCAGTGTGCTAACAGTGAGCTGACGGACGGACAGGTTCAGGCTATGCTTCGCCGTTGGTTCGTGGAAGCAGAGGGAGCTGTGAAAGTACGTTACCCCAAACCTTTTTTTCCCCTCCAGATTATCAAAAATACTTTTTCAGAAATATTTTCCTTATCACTCAAACTATTTGTATATGTTTGAAAGAAGGATTTTGAGTATATTTGAGTTCCGATTACAAATGTAAATGCTCCAAACAGGGATAATAAAGCAATTATTGTGCAATAATTATTATTTACAGCAGAGGTGCCCAAACTCAGTTCTGGAGGGCCGGTGTCCTGCAAAGTTTAGTTCCAATCCCAATCAGATTTGCCTGGGCTAGCTAATCAAGCTCTTACGAGGCTTTCTAGAAACATATGTGCTGATGTGTTGAGACAAGTTGGAGCTAAAATTTACAGGACATTGGCCCTCCAGGACAGAGTTTGGACACCCCTGATTTACAGGATTAGAATCGAGGTTTTAAAGTCCCTATGAAATCAAAATATGATCTAGTGTGCTCCAACACAGTGACAAAGTGTGCATTTAGAATTTATAAACTTTCCAAATTTTTAATTTTTTTAAACTTCTCTTTCTCATCAAATCTTCTGAACAATGAAATGCTCTCTAGTTTTTGATACTTCAATTGCTGAAGCTGAAAAAATTGGTCATTTATTTACGACGTTCAACCCGAAGGTTTGCCGAAACAGCCAAACTGTTGATCTGAACTCCTAGTTAGTCATTTTAAAATACATTGCACACACTGCATACGAATCAGCATACAGGAAACTAGCAGATTCAAAATGAAATCTGTTACACACACTGTCGGTTTTTATTCTAAGAATAGTTATATGATTTCCTTTGGGGTGCATGAAGTCTGTCATCACCTTATTATCACGTGAACCACTGGATCATGCCAGTATATGGACAGTCAGCTTCAGCCTGAAAAACAGTTGCACCAATTGGGTCTATGCACTATGTACAGTTGCCTTGAACCGAGCTGAAGCACGCTTATTCCCACTCCCGTCTCCGCTGACGGCCTACACTCACATTGCATTCGCACCTGAGCACGCTTGCATCATCAATGATGTGCTGTTCAGTAAGAAGCTCTCTAACTCAGCACAGTGGAGATTTCTGCAGTTTTATCGTTTTAGTGGTTTAATATGCAGTGACACGCAGTCAGATATTTCAACAGATCCAAACAGATCCGCCACTTTTGACGCTCATAAATTATCATAAAGTACTCGTACTGCAGGAATTAGGAGGTTTGCTGAAGGTGGTGTGCAGTGAGGGGTTTGCGTCATTAATAATCTACGACAGTTTGCGTTTATTGAAAAGTAAGAATGATTAATAAATCCATATCAAACAGTCTCTTAAAGTCATGTCTTGTCTTCAGTTTCGGGCTCAAGCCCAAGTGAACCGCGCTCTGGTACACCCCTTCCAACCGGGCCAGGGCCAGCCTACTGAACTGCGCCTGAGCCCGATTCAGAGCACTCGCACTTCTCAAACTATCTGTGAAACGGGTCTGGGCATGGTTCGGATAGCATAGTGTAAGTGCACCCTTCTGTACCATGAAGGTAGCTCAGCTTAAATCACTCTTTGGAGCATGGTTATGTTCTGGATTAAAGATCACAAACTGAGATTCAGCCACTCTACTGTGACACATCTCTGATGCAATAAAGCCACTCATCCAGTTTGTCTTGCTGCAAATTGAAGCTTACTATTTAGTAAAACACTTGCCATTTGGCATTTCTGTGTGGAGTTTGCATGTTCTCCTTGTGTTTGTGCGAGTTACCTCCTGAACACAGTCCAAAGACAAGTGCTATAGTTGAATTGAACAAACTAAATTGGCCATAATGTGTGTTTAAATGAGTGGGAATGGGTGTTTCCCAGAACTAGGTTGCAGCTGAAAGGGCATCCACTGTGTTAAACATATGCTGAATAAATTGTCGGTTTATTCTGCTGTGGCCACCCCTGATAAATAAGGGGACTAAGCTGAAGGAAAATGAAATGATTTACATAATTATGTCCATAATTTATTGCACATAAGCAATTTTCGTTTGATAACCCTTTTATTTTGTTCTATTATACATTTACAGATATACTGCTGCAATTGTTTTTTTTATTATTACATATGATCTTAGATTTGCATTTCAGTAAACCTATACAGTGTTTATTATCAACTAAGCTAACTTCACTTCTAATATTTGAGGTCCTCTTTCTGGGATAACTCTTTTCATCTTGCTGTATAAAATGTTTTTGTATTTTTAATTTTTTTTTACCAATTTTTTTTTTAAACTTGTTCCTGGAGGGCCGGTGCCCTGCAGATTTAAGCTCCAACCCTAATCAAACACACCTGAACAAGCTAATCAAGGTCTTACTAGGTATACTTGAAACATCCAGGCAGGTGTGTTGAGGCAAGTTGGAGCTAAACCCTGCTGGGTCACTGGCCCTCCAGGAAGGAGATTGGTGACCCCTGTTTTAAACCATTTAATCTTTGCCTTGCCACAGCAGAATGAACCGCCAACTTATCCAGCATACACTACAGCCATTTTAGTTTATTCAATTTAACTATAGCGCTTGTGTTTGGACTGTGGGCGAAACCGCTGCACCTGGAGAAAACCTACACCAGGGGTGCTCAATCCTGTTCCTGGAGATCTACCTTCCTGCAGATTTCAGTTGCTACCCATATCAAACACACCTGCCTGTAATTATCAAGTGGTGTTTAGGTCCTAATTAATTGGTTCAGGTGTGTTTGATATGGGTAGCAACTGAAATCTGCAGGAAGGTAGATCTCCAGGAACAGGATTGAGCACCCCTGACCTACACCAACATGGGGAGAACATGCAAATTCCAAACAGAAATGTCAACTGACCCAGCTGAGACTCAAACCAGGGACTTGGACCAGGTGACAGGCACCCCCCCAAGAAGGCAATCAAAGTATCGCAGTTTCAAAAGCATGTGATTGGTTGTTTCCTTCATGTGCACACACTCACAAACTCAAAATCAAAGCCTGAAAAAGTTGACGGTCAGCTTCATGGTATTAGCAAAGCCTGATCGCACTGGTTTGGTTTTGTCATCTCAAAACTAATCTTGAGTTTGTTAAACCAGCGTCATGGTACAAACCGCTGGACAATGGGACTGGAAGTGCTAAAACGCTCTATTGATCTAAAAAGGTGACCAAATGTGTTGCTTTTTAGAGACCAGGTGAATTTAATTTGAATAGCAGAGGATTTGAAGTCTTTCTTTTCCGGAAGTGCCATGTGTGTGTGTGTGGACCTGAAAATATATGACCGCTAGAATGGATGAACGTCCCCGAGCTCCGACTAGTCGCCACAGCAGTTCCTGGAGCCGAGCCAAGCCCCTCGGGCAGGTTAAAGTATCTGCCGAAGACGCTGTCTGGACCACTAATACATTAGCCCAATCAGAGTGAGCTATCTTAAGCTACAATTAATCTCCACCCTGCCTTGTGCAGATAGCACAGCAACACGCTGTTTCTTAATTAAAAGCAAACGGATTAAAAATGATTAATATGGGGCATTAAATGTTCTTGCCGACTACAAGTGCTTGCGGTTTTTTAGAAGCGCGGAAGCCCATTAACACCTCGACAAATCTTCACAAGCACAAGTCCAGCTTTGTTTCAGATCAGCCTGATGCTATCGGCCTAAGCCTAAATGAAGAGCCCTTGATTAGGAGTGTGATTTGCTTTTCAAATGGGAACGGCGTCTGAAAGTTTGTTTGTTTCTTTGATTCTTCTTGTGGTTGATGTGTTTTTCTTGCGTTTGTCAGGCGTATTTGTGGGACAGTAATGAAGATGTGGTGGAGTGGTTGGAGAGGCAGCTGGCAGAGGAAGAAGGCGCCAGATCCGTCATCGACGAGAATATCAAATATATTCGCAGAGATCACATCCTCAAACAGATCCGCAGGTAACATTCAGACGTTAGCCTTAATAAATGTATTGATATACAAACCTGGGGAAATGTACAGTTAAAGGCAAATGTTTGAGCCCTCCTGTGAAATTCTTTTTCAAAGATTTCCCAAATGCTGTTTAATGGAGATTTCTCTCAGCACATTTTTAAATATAATCGTTTTAAACACAAATTACTAATAGCTCATTTATTTTGTCTGGCATGATGACAGTATATAATATTTTACTACTTACTTTGCAATTGGTTTAAAGTGAACTGCTGAAGGTAAAGTAACTAAAAATATTAAAGGTGCAGTAGGTGATTGTCTTCAGAACCATTTTTTGTTGTGCTGGTTGAAAGTCTCTTCACATTCCAATAGTAATGGTTAAAATAAATGATCTAAATGTATTTGTATGTATTTTAGATTCTGGGTAAGGCATAATACATAAAAAAATGTTTGTCCAATTATAATTTGTCGGGCCGATAATTCCCAAATTCTGACAAGTAACCCAAACTCTCTGTCAAATGTAGATTAGTAAATCTGCGCAGACGTTCAAGCAGATCCGCTGTTTGCACGTGCACGCGTGCATAAAACAGTCCCAGCAGTAAAAACAAATGCTGAATCAAAGCTTTTTAAAATCCTGAATCATTATTAGAGTTACTTTTGCCTGCTGGAGGAAGGACAACACCATGGCTTAAGTTAAGTATCAGTTAAACTAGGGTCGGTCTTGGAGGGCCGATGTCCTGCATAGTTTAGCTCCGACTTCCTTTAACACAACTTCCTGGAAGTTACTAGTATACCTAGAAAGAGCTTGATTAGCTGGTTCAAGTGTGATTAATTGAGGTTGGAACCAAAATATGCAGGACACCGGCCCTCCAGGACCGGGTTTAGAGCAATTAAACATATTATTTTTAATTTTTTTAAGTTTGGCTGCATAAATTTGCAACACATAATTAACTTGTGAGATGGTAACACATGCAAACACAAGTGCTTAAAGATGTATTTTGACAAAGAAGCAAAATGAAAGAAGAATATTGCTGGTCACAGTTTGACACAGACGCGTTGATGCCAAACCAGCACTGATGCTGATTGCTTCTGTCCTAGATCCATGTCATAATTAATTTTAGTCAACCAACCTAAGGGCTTCTGGTTAATTGTCATCTCATACAAAATTGCAGCGTTAAGATATGATTTCTTTATAAGAAATCTTAACTGCCTGGGTGAGATCCGGTATAACGTGTATATCAGACCAAACAAGAAGCATATGTACAAGAGTATATATGGAAATTAATTTTACCCCAGTATTTTCTATGGAATTTCTGCGCTCGCCTGTTGCTAATGATGGTGCCTGCGTTTAGATGGTCTTTCGTCTCTTTTTACTCTTTAACAGCCACATGGACGCTTAAGTCTCTTTAACGGATTGTATTTTAATTACAATACAACATTGATGCTGTAAAAGGAACCTTATGAAATTGAAAATAGCCACATTAAGCTTTCACCCGAAGTTCGTCATTTGCTAAAAAGCACTAGTTGTGCATAGAGCCCATTCGAGAAAGAAACCACAAAACATAACTTTCTGAGATGCCCACTGCTTTGAAAACAATCCGGCCACAAGTCGAGAGCGTTTGGGTTTTCCCTCCATCAGAGCGTTCTCCGGCATCGCTCATAAACACAACAAATAGGCTATAGTTGTGATGATTTAGTGTACAACCAACAAAAAATGTTTCCATTTAGAAAATGAAAGGTGAAGTTTTTTTTTCCCTCTCCGCTGTCGCCACTGGCTCGCATGGTTCAGGATTGGTAGAGCTACGCATCGATGAATTTGCTCTTCAGTGTTTGAACTCTCAGTAATGATTAAATCACACTGAACTGAGCTAAACTGAACTGAACTTAAACACTAAAAACTGAACTACACTGTTCCAGCTACTATGACCATTTATGTGAAGCTGCTTTGACACAATCTACATTGTAAAAGCGCTATACAAACAAAGCTGAATTGAATTGAAAAATGGCAGTTATTTCTTATAAATTATTAATTTTTAAAATAACCTACATAATCTCAGAATCAAAAAGATTTTCTTGATTTTTGCATAATGATACCTCCGCACCAGTCTGAGTCTTTTATAGCTTATAAAATATGCACGCAATATCAAATGTAAACAACAACATTTTTATACACTATAGTAGCCTATGCTTTACAAAAAGTCAACATATGTGCGCCGTGTCATTGTCTTTCATCACCCGTGAACATAAACTGTGAATGAGACGGAGAAAATGAAAGCACACAAGCTCTAAGGTAAAATCAGATGCTCAAGACATCATCTTTAAACTAATAACTTCTATTAAAACGAGGTTTATGATATGAGAATAACAGCGAAGCATTAATTAAATGCATATTTTCCATAGAGCAATTAATTTTAGGGAGCCCATTTTTATTTGTCAAAAAACAGCCTATGCTGGTTCTTAAAAAGGATTCAGTCGGTGATTTTGATTTGTAATCTAAATGATTTGTAATTTAAGTGAAACTATCTAGGGCAAGACTATTTATTTTATTCTTTTTATTTAGTTTATTCTTTTTTCTATGCTGTTGGTAACACTGCATGTGCGTGAAGATGTTCTGTTGTTGATATGTTTGCATATTAAAATAAATCCATATTTTAGAATGCAATATTTAACGCGTCAGACACAAAATAGACACATCAGTTCATTTACCTAAATAAAATAAAAATGTAATCAGTTAACAGTTAATATTCAGTTTACGAGTGGCAGTTGCCCGCTGACAAAATTAACCGAAATGAACATCCCTACATCAAACATTCAATAATAAAATGCATCTCAAAGCACTTCACTGGACCTTTAATATACAAATAGTGAGAGTGATTTATGTTTACTCTTGGACAATTCTGTTCATATAGTGCTCTTTATTTTATACTTTAAACTTGTATGTAAAGTGGTTCCAAAAAAGTTAAAATACATGAAGAATTTTGACATAAGAAGGTAACAGGTGCTGGTCATGGGCTTCACAGGGGGCTTCAATTACATCATCCCGAAACGGGAAGACAAATGAACGTTTTCTGTGGAATTACCTGATTTAAAATGTCTCGTGATTTTTATTTTGTAAGAGCTATAGTTTATTATTATGTTTGAGATGGTCACACCTGATATGGGTAAAACTTGGATAAAATGTTTGAAGACTGCAGTGTTTTTTTTACATTCTCAAATTAATGCCTTGTTATTCATTTCATCTCTCTTAGCCTGGTTCAAGCTAACCCTGAGGTGGCTATGGACTCCATTGTACACATGACCCAGCACATTTCCCCCACACAGCGCGCCGAAGTCGTCCGCATCCTCTCCACCATGGACACCCCAGCCTCCTCGTAGAATCTCAAAAGCCTGATCTTACTGGAAACCGCAAATAGAGGAGCCAACATGGAGGTTTCTGTGACTGACTTTATGTTGTTGGCTATGATTCTGAAAGTAGTCTTAAGAATGCACAGCAACGCGCACCTTTAGAAACACTAAAAAAATAAAAGTCCTAGTGTTGTCGTTTATAGTTCTGCAGTCTAGTCAAGTGCACTTTTAATCAGCTCTAGATGAACAGAGACCAATTAGAACAAGCTGCCGTTTGTTTTATTTTCTAGAACGTTTATTTGTTTAAAAAGAAGTGCGTTACTGTATGAGTGTGAAAGTTTGCATATGTTGTAATCAGTTTTATTTTATAACAGTCAGGTTGTAACACTAGTTCACGCTTGAAGCGAGCGAGTTGACAACTGGATCACTCCTGATTCACTGGTTATAATGGAAGAGATGGAAGTGTAGATGTTTCTCTTTACATGCAGGATGGTCAGCTGAGCCAAATGACCCCATCAGTTTGTTACTGTACTTGTTTCATGCCCTTGTAGCTTAACCAAAAAAAAAAAGTTTTTTTTTTGTTTAAATATATATCCACTTGTTATAAGTATTCAGTTTGTTTATCCTTTTTTAGCATAAATATGAATATATAATGCTGAGAAGTCATTAATAACTTATTAAATGTAAAAAAGCGCTGCACTCTGTAGTATAACGTGGTACATAATACTGTAAGTGTGTAACTGTAGAACATTCAACTGTAACTGTAGAACATTCAACCTGTTGAATTTGATTGTTACAATATGAATATTCTGGAATGACAAACCAGGAGAGGATCAATATTGGAAAAGAATACTTGAGAGATGAATTGAGTTACACAAGAGATCACAATGTCAGTTATGTCACAACTAAGAGACACGATGCTCAGTTGTGTCCTCATTGATATTACAGTATGCTGGTGGTTTGTGTGACTGGAAAACCTCAAGATGTTACTCCAATTCCAGATTGCGAGCACTACTGCTGGACTCGATGAAAGATTGCGTCAAGTCCACTGTCATGGTGTGACCATCAGGGTGGTAAATTGTTTATCAGTGAACTGAGATCAGAAGCTATCAACCTGCCTGGTCAAAATGGAGGATTTTGTGTTTACTAAGGCAATGTTTTGTTGCCTCTAAAAATAAATAAATGAATAATAAAAGTCAAAGCTTCTTATGTTCGTTTTTAGGGCTGTTTTTTGTTTGAACATTCGGTCATGTCATGAAAGTGTGTTTTCTCTGATGTGCTCCATACACTAGGAGTGTCAAAATGAATTATTTCTTTGATGCACCGCGATGCAGACGTGGACAATTCTGTATCGTTTAACATTTCAAACAAGTATTAGTATTTAATTAATATGTACTAGTATCTTTTAAATAAATTGTAGTATCTATTTCATGAGGACTAGTATCTAAAAAATAAGTACTAGTATCTTTTAATCAGGTAGTAGTATGTAATTAATAAGAACTAGTGCCTAATGATTAACTACTAGTGCAGAAATATATGTGCTAGTCCTAGCTGGAATACATACTATAGTCAAAACTGAGGAGTTGATATCTCAATGACAGATTCCATAGAAATTGATGGAAAATGTTTAATTTTGTTACTAGTAACAACAGAATAGTTACTAATCGCTACTAAAATAAGTACTAGTATCTAATAAATAAGAATCGTATCTATTTAATAAATACTAATATCTAATGAATGAATGAGTACTAGTATCTAATAAAAAAATAGTATCTAAAGAGTCAGCACTAGTATATTTTTATAAAGCACTAGTATCTTAAGAGTAGGCACTAGTACTTAATGGAAAAGATACTAGTATCTAAAAAATAAGCACCAGTAACATGAAAATAAGATACTAATATGGGTTATAACTTGCATGTCAAAACCGCAGAAGTGGGGTTGTAGCATTGCCAGCAGAACTGAGCGCAGATTTGACAGGGTAGTGAAAACACTGAAGATCTACCAGGGAGCTGGACTTAAACCAGATTGTTTTTTTTTAATAATATTATTATGTCATGCTTTTACAACACAATTCAGTGAATAGGTCCTTACTGAAAGAAGAGAATGCAAATACAGTGCATCCGGAAAGTATTCATAACAAAGTTATATTCAATTCAATTTGTTGCACGTTTATTAAAAATAAAAAACCTGCAATATCACATGTACATGTGTATTCATAGCCTTTGCTCACCTTTGGCAGCAATTACAGCCTCAAGTCTTTTTGAATATGATGCCACAAGCTTGGCACACCTGTCTTTGGGAAATTTTGCCCATTTCTCTTTGCAGTACCTCTCAAGCTCTATCAGGTTGGATGGAAAGCGATGGTGTACAGCCTTTTTCAGATCTCTCCAGAGATGTTCAATAGGATTTAGTTCTGGGCTCTGGCTGGGCCACTCAAGAACATTCACAGAGTTGTTGTGAAGCCACTCCATTGATAATTTGGTGGTGTGCTTTGGGTCATTATCCTACTGGAAGATGAACCATCGCCCCAGTCCGAGGTCAAGAGCACTTTGAAGCAGGTTTTCATTAAAGATGTCCCTGTACATTGCTGCATTCACCTTTCCCTCTATCCTGACTAGTCTTCCAGTTTCTGCGGCTGAAAAACATCCCCACAGCATGATGCTGCCACCACCATGCTTCACAGTAGGGATGGTATTAGCCTGTTGATGAGCGCTGCCTGCTTTTCTTCAAATGTAACGCCTGGCATTCACTCCAAAGAGATCAATTTTAGTCTCATCAAATCAGAGAATTTAGTTTCTTATGGTCTGAAAGTCCTTCAGAAGCCTTTTGGCAAATTCCAGGTGGTTTCCGTATGGTCACTCTACCATACAGGCCTGATTGGTGGACTGCTGCACAGATGGTTGTCCTTCTGTAAGATTCTTCTCTCTCCACAGAAGAATGCTGGAGCTCAGACTGAGTGACTATCAGGTTATTGATCACTTCCCTGATTAAGGCCCTTTTCCCCCATCACTCAGCTTAGATGGCCGGCCAGCTTTAGGAAGAGTTCTGGTGGTTCCAAACATCTTCCACTTACAGTTGATGGAGGTCACTGTGCTCATTGGAACTTTCAGAACAGCAGAAAATTTTCTGTACCTTTCCCCGGCCTTGTGCCTCTAAACAATCCTGTCTCGGAGGTCTACAGGTAATTCCTTTGTCTTCATGCTTGGTTTGTGCTTTGGCATGCACTGTCAACCCTGGGACCTTATAAAAAGAGGTGTATGTCTTTTCAAATCATGTCTAATCAACTGAATTGACTACAGGTGAACTCCAATGAAGCTGCTGAAACATCTCAAGAATGGTCAGTGGAAACAGAATGTACTTGAGATTAATTTAGAGCTTCACGACAAAGACTGTGAATACTGATGTACATGTGATTTTTCAGGTTCTTTTATTTTTAATAGATTTGCAAAACTTTCAAAAAAAAAAACATTTTCACATTGTCATTATTGGGTACTGTGTAGAATTTTGAGGAAATAAAACAAATTTGATCTATTTTGGAATAAGGCTGTAACAAAAAATGTTTAAAAAGTGAAGCGATATGAATACTTACTGGATGCACTGTACTCAAGCAAAACTTTTGCTATTAATAAAGTGCTACTATGTTAATTTCAACAAATCAGAATAGGTGTTGTTCGAGATAAAATCCTGAAAGGTTTGTAACCTTTTATTCTACCAAAAGATAATCAGTGCTCATCTTCCTAAGAGAAATCAAATGGCAGACAGAATGATCCAGGAACACACTTTCATTGATTTATCAGTTCTCCAATCATTCTCTCATTCAGCCCCCTCTGAGTGGCTTTCTCAGTCTATATTCCTTCTACCCACCAACAACCAAATTGAATCACACCAATTCAATAGCCAATTATATTTATGACAGACACAATAATGAAAACTTAAGCAGATAATTGAAGGTGAAGGTTCCTCTGATACCACAGATCAGATAACATTACAGAACGCTTCCAGACAAGGGAATTCATTTAGAGGTAGATATCGCTTTCACTAGATTTAATCATGTGCTAACAGTACAATTAGGACATCAATGAAAACACTCTGTGTGTGTGTGTGTGTTGACAATGTTTTTAATATAAAGAGGCACTAAAATGTGTCAGCTCACAAATCACAATAACTCTTTAGTTTCATTTACAGCAAGTCACTTAAAGAAGGAAATATGTTTGGGGTTCCTGAGGGATTTCACCAGCAAGAGCAGTAGATAAGTATGGGCGCGTGTGTGGACATCTGTAGTACACACACACCCGGAGTATAAGCATGTTGGGACAGATGTTTCAGTCATTGTGTTGTCACTGGACCATTTGCAAACAAGGAACGAAACAGCTCAGACCTGAAAACAAACAGAACAAAAGCAAAATTTACTTCTGGAAACAAAGACCTTCACAAAAATATTGTCATGAAAAAGCGCGACTAGTAAATGACTAAAACTAACAACTAGGAACTTAATATATGAACTAACATAATACTAGTATGCAACTAAAAACTACAATCTATTTCTCATCGTAAGTTGTGTGAGTATCTATAAGCGTTACTATTTAATGATTAAATACCAGTACAAAAAATAGGCACTATCAACTTAAAAAAAGATCTTATAACCAAATAAATAATTACTACTATATAAATATGCATTTTAAAATGATAACAGAATCCCACACAAGTCAAAGGTAAAACTGTAAAGCTTGTTACAAGAGACAAAAGTTTTATTATTATTAAGTACTAGTGAAAGTACTAGTATGAGATTAGGTACTGGTATACAGGTGAAAGAACCTAATAAATAGTTGTTATTATCTAATAAGCAGAAGCATTTAAAGCAGGCACGTGCAGAGGTGGGGGCTTTGGGTGCTTAAGCCTTTGCCCTTTTTTCCTGGGGATAGTAATTATTTTTTTATATACTAATAATAATACAATATAATATACAGTTAAAGTCAAAATGATTCACCCCCGTTTATTTTTTTTCCCAATTTCTGTTTAACAGAGGAGATTTTTTTTACAACACATTTCTAAACATAAATAATTTTTAATAACTGATTTATTTTATTTTTGCCATGATGACAGTAAATAATATTTGACAAGATATTTTAAGACACTTCTTTACAGCTTAAAGTGACAGTTAAAGGCTTAACTTAATTAGGTTAACTAGGCAGGTTAGGGTAATTGGGCAAGTTATTGTATAACGACAGTGTGTTCTGTAGATTATCGAAAAAAAATGTATAGCTTAAAGGGTCCAATAATTTTGACCTTAAAATGTTTAATAAAAAATTGAAAACTACTTCTATTCTAGCCGAAATAAAACAAATAAGACTTTCTCCAGAAGAAAAAATATTATCAGACACACAGTGAAAATTTCCTTGCTCTGTTGAACATCATTTAGGAAATATTTAAAAAAGAAAAAAGAAATTGGATTAATTTAGACTTCACATGTATACTAAGTGAATGGTTTTTGGTGTTCTGTGGCACTGAACCTGCAGAGACTGGAAAACAGCCGGGTATAAAAGTAAATGTCCATCAAAGTGGCATAAAGAGCCTGAGAATGTGCTCAACCGTGACTAAAGGCCACCAATCCTAATAGATAAAGTGTGGCCCTGTTTAATGCAGAGAGGACAAAAGCACACAAGCGTGGCCCCGAGATTGAGGTGCTGATGTCCCAAAGGGGCCGGACTGAGAGCAGACCAACAGACCCAGACTTAATCCCAAATCCCTGTTAGAAATGCATCAGCAGCGTTCAGGATTACAGCGCCGTGCATACATTCAGATCCCAACCGAACCTGGAGAACCCAGAGTACGAGGCTCTTCCTATCAGAGACAAATGCATTGTGATGATCTCTTAAGCTGTGTGTGTGTTGTTCCTGCATTGACGGCATTAACATTCATGGCTGCAGTGGTGCGTGTCGGGTGTTATAGAGCTGCTGTTGTGATACGGCGGAGGGAAAGTGTTTGTGTTTATGTGCATCTGGAAAAGGTCGCTGAAAATTTCTCCTCTGCAAAGGTCAGCGGCCACTCTCTGATGCCATCGGCATACATCATTATTACTGTAGTTCAACAATTGTTATGTAAATAAGACCAAGCCGGCGTGTGTGTGTTTGTGCGTGTGGATGGTAAAAAGGTCAGACATCAGTTTGTGTCATCCGTGCTCTGATAAAGGTGTTATCAGTGTTGTGTCAAAAATCTCAATATACATTTTAATTTGACTACGATTACAGACTATTGCTCGGACCCTTTACTGAGCATCATCACTGGACTGATTTTTCTGATTTTAGTCGATTAACTGAATATTAACTGAATGTTGCGCATGTATTAGTGTCATATTTTTATGCTTATCATGGCCACTTTATTAGGTACACCTGTCCAACTGCCCGTTAAGGCATATGTCTAAGCAACATAATGCATTTTGGCTATAGACATGTCAAGAAGATCTTCTGCAGTTCAAACTGAGCATCAGAATGAGAACGAAAGGTGATTTTAAGTGACTTTGAATGTGGCCTGGTTGTTGGTGCAAAACAGGCTGGTCAATTATACATTTTTATTTACTATAAATAGTAGTGGTCGGCCATTTTAGTTCATCCAATTCACCTATACTGTATGTTTTTGGATTGTGGAGGACACCGAAGCACCCAGAGGAAACCCACGCTAACACTGGGAGAACATGCTGTGAGGCAACAGTGCTAACCATTAACCCACTATGCCGCTATATTTCATGCTTATTTTTCATTCAAATTTAATTTTATCATATATTATCATCACTTTTAGGAACAACTGCATGATTTTATGTGTACGTATGCATCCATATGTTTATATTTGTAAAGCAAAAACAGCAATGCAAAAGTTCTGTTGTCTTCTGGTTAGCTTAAAGGTGTGTGTGTGTGTGTGTGTGTGTGTGTGTGTGTGTGTGTGTGTGTGTGTGTGTGTATTCTTTTCACCCTCTTGAGTGTTTGATGTTTTGGTTGTGTGCGTGCTCAAGTAGAACAGCACTGTGAGCTCGATCAGCAGGCCAAGTCTATCTGTCAGCCAGCTCTTCATCAATCCATCCTCTCCTATCTAATCCTGCCTCCACATCCTCCATCTCACTCCTCTAGACCTCTCCAAACCCAGCACTACATATGCTAAAGCCCTGAAACACCTGCACCAATAATAGTCGAGACTACAGAGAGAAGATTATAGCACAACTTCAAGGCAAGATTTTGTAGGATTGTGATTTTTTTTGTTTTGTTTTATGGTGTATGAGTTCTACTTACATTTTCAAAATAGTTGAAAAAAGAAAAGAAGAAAAAAAAAATCACATGCAAACATTGAACACAATGCAAAATGATTAGATTTTAATTAAAGGTTGCCTGCAAAATAAATTTGGGTATATTTTGGGTATACCAAGGCATAGGCAAATAATAAAAGTTTACTACATAGAAATGGCAATAGCAGGAGCCTCAAATACCACTGTATGTATGTGTGTATGTATTTATTTCCTTAAAATTCTACAAAATAGATTTTAAAAAATTAAAAACTGCTTTTATTTAAGCCAAAATACAACAAAAGACTTTCTCCAGAAAATAAAATATTATCAGAAGTACTGTGAAGGTTTCCTTGTTCTGTTAAACATCATTTGGGAAATATTTTAAAAAGAAAAAAAAAATCAATAATAATAATAATTCTAACTTTAACTGTATATACATTTTTATATATTTTTAGCCCCCTTTGATTTTTTTTTCTTGTTTTTTCTTTCTTCATATACACATCAAATTTAGTTACATAACAGTTGTAATTTTTAAATTGTCAGTTGTATTAAAAAATAAGTTATGCTGAACAAAAAGTGTATGTATTACAATTATGTTTGGCTTTACACACATTATTCAAAATATGTTGCTAAGAAATGGCTCTTAACTTCTTTTTTTGGTGAAGCCAGTGAAAACTTTGGCAAGGCAAGTAAAAATCTGAACCAGTGGCCAGTAGAAAAAAATTCTTGGCATTAAACCCTGTTCCATGTTGCATAAAGTGCTACAGACTTGACTTTTATTACTTAAAAAAGTGTCATTTTAAAAAAATTTATTTATATATATATATATATATATATAATATATAATTTTATAATATATAATATATATAATATATAATATATAAATATATAATTTTTTTGACCCAAAAGTTTTGAATGGTATTGCACTCTCTGTAATAAAAGCATTAGGTTTTGATGTGCTAATAAGAATAGCTACAAAACACCTGACATGTACTGCCTTTGTGAAACCAAAGCATAAAAACAACAAGAGGGATTAAAAGTGAAATCTTTGAAATGCGTGAGTGTTTTTGCATGTGTGTATCTACAGAGAGTGTTTGATTAGTCTGTTCTCTGTTTGAGGAGGATTACTGCTGCCTGACAGGACAGAGAAGCACACAACTCAACCATTAATTACACACACGCACACCTTCCTGCTGGCGTCCCCACAGCTGAGTGAGTCAGTAAGTGTAAAAAAAAAAAAAAATGAAACTCAAATGCTGCGATGCATTGATATTTCACTCAAAAATGAAAGTTTTGTCTTCATTTATTTACCTTCTTACTCCAAACCAAGGTTATTATAGCTTGGCATTTTTTTAACCCTTTTCATTTATGAGTTTTAACTACTCCAGCTGACCCTTCAGTGTGTGTGTGTACTTTTTTTTTTGTGACCATTACTCAGAATCCATTGCATTCTAAAGTTATCATGGCGACGCATCAAAATTATTACATGCCCCTTTTGCCCCAATGATCCATGTATATGTCGTATTTGTTTTTTGTTTTTGTTTTTGGACTTTTCAGTACATATTAACAAATATTCTATTTATATCGTGAAAATTGTGATACTCCAATTCTCAAATAGGTGACAGAACATATAGTTTGTCTTTTAAACAGCTTAAAAATTACAGGTAATTGGCAACAATGTTGTTGCTAAAAGGGATACAGCTGCAATCAGAAGTTAACCAAAAGTGTTTATATTATTTATTAATAATAGACACTAATAAAATACAATTAATGCGTAATTTAATAAATAATACTAATACTTCTCGCTAACTTCCGATCGCAGCTGTATCCCTTCTAGCAACAACCGCAAGAGAGATCTGAGCTGCTGGATGTACGTCATATTAATTCATACTTTTCTGCTGAAATACATTAGAATAATCAACTGTCTATCTGGAAGAGGAATAGAGAAAATATTCTAGAAACATAAACAGTGTGTATCTTATGTGAACAAAGCACATCATCCAGTTATATAGAAAAAAAATGATGCCGTCTCCATAGACATCTATGTGTGTTTAACAAACCTTAGATGGTATGTTTTGCTTGTAGTTATGTGTATTTGAATGTCTGAAACCTAAAATAAGTGTTATTTGTTTGAAAGCACAGATAAATTGTGATTTATGACAAGCTCTGTGCACCTCTTTCTATGCCTCAACGTGCGCTATCAGATTTGAATTTTAGCTGTTGATGACAAGCGCACTGAATATTCTAATCATACCGGTGGGATTATACCTCAGAGATCAGCCAAGGCTGATCACACTTTGATCGTCCGCGTGAAACATCTTTTAATAATTTTTAAAGTTTAGATCAAGTGTGTCAATGTTTTGTTTTAGTTTTCATTTTGTGAACACATTAAGCTTTTTTATATTTAGTTTCAGTAGTAATTCTAGTTCCAGAGTCTAACAGAGTTAACAGAACACATTCAGTGTTGACCAGAGTCAACTGTAGTGCAAATCTCTTGGTAATATTAATTAAAATAATTGTATGAGCAGACACTGAACCCAGAACTACACAAATGCAACTTTAAATGCATAAAAGTAAATGTTTCTTAAGAATTCAAACGAGCTTCAGATTGTATATGTAGTTAAACAGGCATTGACTGCATTTTTTTTTAAGTTTTAACACTTAATTGTTTTTAGAAAATATGTTTTTTATATATAGAAAATAATGCGCGTGACTAATGTGTTTGTCTGTAAAAGCTCTTCAACAGGTAATTCTACAAACAGCCGCAGGCAGTTTTTTTCATAACACAAAACGAGTGCTTAGAAATTTGAAAACATTTATTATTATTGTTATTATTATTAAATTCCAGTTTTTCAGCAACAGTTTAGTTTTAGTTTTTTTTGATTATTTAGATTTTGTTATTATTTCTTAGTCCATTTATTAAAAAAGGGGTCACCACAGCGGAATGAACCGCCAACTGATCCAACATTTGTTTTTTACACAGCGGCAGCCCTTCCAGCTGCAGCCCTTTACTGGTAAACATTCATACACACTCATACATTACGGACAATTGAGCTTATCCAGTTTGCTTATACCAATTCACCTATAGCACATGTCTTTGGACTTGGGTGGGGAAGTGGAGCACCCGGAGGAAATCCAAGCATACACGAGAGAACATGGATACCCCAAACAGAAACGCCAACTGACCCAGCCGAGGCTCGAAATAGCGACCTTTTTGTTGCAAGCAAACGTGCTACCCACTGCGCCACCGTGCTGCCTTTATTTCAGTTACTGAAATGTGTTTTTTTGAAACAACCGTTTTAGTCTACAAAACAGGAGAATTTAGATAAACTTTCTCAGCTATAAAAGCTTTTAAATGACGGCACCTACAGCCCAGGGGTTATTATGCCGATATATAGCACTTTAGGCCGTACTCACACTAGGTACAGTTGCCTCGAACCGGGCCAAAGCACGCTTGTCTCCCCTCCCGTCTCCCCCGATGGCCCGCGCTCACACCATATCGGGCCTCGGCACGCTTACGTCATCGCTGCTGCGCTGTTCAGAAGCGCTCTCTATGGCAAGCCTTTTTAGCATTTAAATCTTTGTTCTGACTCCATAAATATATTTAGAGATATCTCTAATTATATTTTGACTAGTCATAATTACAATTCGACTAGTCAGAATAACAATTAGAGATATCTGCAATTGCAATTGTACTAGTACGAAATCAGATTGGAGATATCTGCAAATATATTATGACTAGTCATATTCCTCCATTGACTTCCATTGAAAAATATTTGTAGATATCTCTAAATGAGTTTTGACTAGTCACAATTGTAATTAGAGATATCTCTAACTGAGTTTTAACTAGTCATACATTTGGAGATGTCTTTAATTCGTAATATTTAGAGATATTTACAAATATATTTGAAGATATGTCCAATTAATTTACTAATAGTCGAATTACAGTTGTAGATATCTTGAATTGGATTTTTGACGAGTCAAAACTCAGAGATATCTGCAAATATTTTTCAACGGAAGTCAATGGAGGAATATGACTAGTCATAATATATTTGCAGATATCTCCAATCTGATTTCGTACTAGTACAATTGTAATTGCAGATATCTCTAATTGTCATTCTGACAAGTCGAACTATAATAATGACTTGTCAAAATATATAATTATATCTCTAAATATATTTATGGATAGTCAGAACAAGGTTTAAATGCTAAAACGGCTTGCCATACGCTCTCTCACTCAGCAGCACAGTGGAGATTTCTCTAGTTATATCGTTTCAGTTGTTTGTTATGCAGTGACATGCAGTCAAATATTTCGCCAAACAGTCCTTAGGGATGCCGTGACACGCAGTCAGATATTTTACCGAACAGATCCGCCACTTTTGGCGCTCATAAACAATCAAAGCTCTCGTGCTGCAGGAATGAGGAGGTCTGCTGAAGGCGCGCAGCTGGCGTGCAGTGAGGAGTTTGCGTCTTTAATAAACTACGGCAGTTTGCGATCACTGAACAGTAAGAATGATTAATTAATCCATATCAAACAGTCCCTTAAAAGTCACGTCTCGCTTTCGGTTTCGGGCTTTGGCGCGTTTCGCGCTCACACACAAGCGTACCGCGCCAAAGCCCAAGTGTACCGCGCTCAGGCACACCTCTTCCAACCGGGCCAGGGCCGGCCGAGTGAACCGTGCTTGAGCCCGATTCAGCGCACTCACACTTCTCAAACGATCCGGGAAACGGGCCTGGGCACGGTACGGATGGCATAGTGTGAGTAGGCCCTTAGATGTCCCAAGGTGACCCACCTCTTGGACCCTACTCTCCAATCAAATAAAGACATAAATAGCACAAACAGCCTTTAAATAAAGTCAACATTTGTGTAAACTGCTTTTGTTGTTTTTTTTTTTTTACTTTTTGCATATTGACTTTAGTTTTATGGAAAAGAGCAGCTGTGATATTCTGCTAAACATCTCATTTTAAAGAAATGTATGACATATTGGGCAGAGGGGTGGTGCAGTGGGTAGCACTGTTGCCTCACAGCAAGAAGGTTGCTGGTTCGAGCCTCAGTGGTTTAGTTGGCAATCCTGTGATGAGTTTGCATGTTCTCCCCGTGTTTGCGTGGGTTTCCTCCGGGTGCTCCAGTATCCCAAGACATGCGCTATAGGGGAATTGGGTGAGCTAAAATGTTCGTAGTGAATGTGTGTAAATGGGTGTGTATGGGTGTTTCCCAGTGATAGGTTGCAGCTGTAAGGACATCCAATGCGTAATAACATATTCCGTATGAATTGGCGGTTCATTCCGCTGTGGCGACCCCAGATTAATAAAGGGACTGAGCCAAAGACTAAATGAATGAATGACATTTCTTGTAAGAATTATGCCTTTAAACATCTGTATATAACATGAATAGGATGGTGTGTATGATCAGTTGATTATTTTTGTCTTTAAAGCAGGTTAAAAAAAAGGTAAGGCTTCACTCACCGTGCATCATCGCTCATGCTGCTGTTGTCCATAGGAGCCATAAAATTCATCAGCTTACTGTGAACGTGAAACCTGACAAAGGTTTGAAGGAAAGAAGGACAAGTATAAGCTCAAATAGTCTTGAGTAAACTGAATTGTGCCATCAGAACACACACACAGCCGAACTCTGAACTCATTTACATGACAAATAGACAATTAAAGATGTTTGATAAGAGATGATATCTGCTGCTTCTTAATCAATAGAAACAACCCCATCTCATTCCTGTATTATCCTCTATCTTTATGTAACTGAATTAAGATGATGCTAATAAACACCTTCCGATGTTTTGGTCACATAAAAAGTACAAGCTTTGTAAGATAATCTAATTAAATCAGAGTTATTTTATGATTATTGTAAAAATACCTAGCAAGAGCAATTCAACAGAACAAGCAAAACAGTATTAAGCAATCTGCCAGGTTTTAACCTGAGCTTTAAAAAACAATACAATTTCTGGTTTTTATGCAGTAAATTCATGTCAGCAAGACTACTGTTATTTTGTGTTACTATCATGCATACAGTATATTATTTTCATTTTTGTTAATATTTTGAATTTAAATCATAATTTTGATGTCATTTTGTTAAGTTTTAGGTATTCTGAGCATGTAGTTTTTATTTGTTTTTGTTCTTTTAAATACATCCTTGCATGTTTAGGTTTCAGTTTTATCCATATTAGTGTTTCCAACTTACTGATTTACATGTTGAGTCAAAGCAAAGATGCGATTAGACATCCGGTGGCACTAATTGTGTGATTGAGGTGGCGCATTTAAACGATTCAAGCGAATGACATGATGCAAATTGAGCATTTTTATTTATTTAAATCATTTAAGTGCTAACCTGTGGTTTGCTCGAATCTCGAGTTGAAAAATCTGAACTTTTCCACACATTTGCGCCACATTAACCAATCAGGAGCTTGCTCCATTAGTGGCATGATTATGTCATAGTGTCACTAGTTGTTGTCCTGATGGGAAATTCTGCCGTTGACATGAGACAACAGGTCAAGATAAAAAAAAAATTAAGCAATAAAAAAAATTAATAAATAAAAGAATTAAAAAAATTCATAGATCACAGAGTAGCTTCACCTTATACCTTATAGCATTTAGTTTTTAATCACAGCTCTGTCAGTGAAAGTGGTTGAGCAAACAAGAAGCACCATGAAGGAGTTTGCACATGTCAGAGCATTTGATTGGCCAAGATTTGATGAAAAAGTATGAGGTGATGTGAAAAAGAAAAAAAAAACATTTAGGCAGAAGTAACTGCAAACTTGGGTAATGCAATGGTGCAGTGGGTAGTATGTTGGCCTCACAGCAAGAAGATCACTGGTTCAAGCCTTGGCTGGGTCAGTTGGCAAATCTGTATGGAGTTTGCATGTTCTCTGTGCGTTTGCGTGGGTTTCCTTCAGGTGCTCCGGTTTCCCCCACAAGTCCGAAGACATGTGATTCAGGTGAATTGGGTATGCTAAAATTGACTAGTGTATGAGTGTGTGTGTCTATGGATGTTTCCCACTGACGGGTTGCAGCTGGAAGGGCATCTGCTGCGTAAAATATGCTGGATAAGTTGGCGGTTCATTTAACTGTGTTGACCCAGAATAATAAAGGGACTAAGCCGAAAAAAAAATGAATGAATGAACTGCAAACTTTATTTTTTTATCTTTTGAGTATAAATTGTGTCACTGTTTTAGAACAAACTAGTGTATAGATATCCCTTAAACTAACATCTAAAAAAAAAAAAAACATTTTAATTAAAACAGGACTTTTAAATGTTTATTTTAAGTGAAATCAAAAATTCCTTCTTTGTTAAAAATAACTCTGGCCATTTCAGGCCATTGTAACCACAAAATTAAAATGAATAATTTGCTAATAGATTGTTTTTCTTAACAAGAATTATACTGCCTGGACTAAAAAAAGGTTTACATATAAACCATTAGAACTGACAGAACACCAACTTCTATTATATTGTATAAATAATTAAAGCTTACTAAAACATTTCTGCATTTATTTGAGAAAGGCAAATAAGTGTTTCTATAGTTTTACTGTTCTATAATAGCTCAGAATATGACAATGCAGCATTTCTGCTGTTGCATGACAACAATACCATTGTTGTTCATAAAGTAAAATATATATATCAAGGTGTTAGCAAAAGCAAAAACAAAGTGTTTAGTGTCAGCCTTATGTGTACAGTAAACTGTATTAGTTTTTAATACCATTAATTGTATTTTAATGCTATATATCTATTATTTATGTTTTAGTTTTTGTACTATTAAAAACATGTATGTACATTTAAGTTTCAAATTTATATTTTAGTACTTCGACCTAAATCAAACAAACTAGCTGAAAAAAAAAAGTTTTTTATTTTAGGTAATGTTCATTTTATTTCAAAGCTGAGCACCATTTGTGTATGTGTCTTTTTTATATCATATTTTCCCTCCAACATTTAAATTTGGGGGTGCTAATTTTTGGACCTTTATTGTAAACTATTGTTACATTAGGTTCAGATTTGGCTTTAGTACTGACTAATCTAATGTAAATGAACAAACATAATATTGTAAAACATCCTATGAAAAATACTTATTTAAATGAATGATTTGTGAGGGGTGTACTTATATATGCTGAGCACTTTATACCATATGTATATAACATTTTTATCACAAAAAAATCTAAAACATTTAAATAAAAAAGAGAAATTATTTTATTTTATTACATTTTTATAAAATAATAAAAATAAACAATAAAAATAAAAACTAAGATAATCTTGCAAAATGTTCCTCATAGTAATGTCACAGAGAAAAATCGATTGTTTCTTGAGAATGAAAGTTTACCTGATTTTTCTGCCTTTGCTGGCTTTGGTGTCCACCTTCTTCTTGATTTTACTACGCAGTTTCTGGATAGCAAGCCATTGCCTGTGAGGTTAAACGTAGAGTTATAATAGTCAAATGTGTACAATGTATGAAACGTATATATGCACAGACACACACTCACTTTCCCATGGCCACTTGATCATTGGGGTCTGTTGCACTTGTTTTGCGCTCAATAAGCTCTCGGAGAAGCTGTGCAAAAGAAAGAGAGCTTAAGAAAACCCTGACATTGCATCTGTATGTCTACCATTTTATAGAAGGGTATTTTTGTACTTGTTTTTACCATTTTTATTCAACAAAAAGAAATACATAGAAATACAATTTTATTGCATTGGAAATGGCGGTTTTCACCAGAGATTTATTAGAGGGGTGAAAAAGTACTCTAGAAAGATGCCATCATCATTTTATTTTTACAAAGAGACAAGCAGTTATATTAGTAATAGTAGTTGTATATAGCAATTGTTGAAGCATTATGTTTTCAATGGACACTTCTAAGATGGAAAGCTTGTTTATAAGAGATATAAAATATACATCTTGAGTTACAGCCAAACAAACTTAGCAAAGATAATGCTTTCACCACTCAGACTGTTATTTTCCATGCAATTACTTTCAGAATATTTCAGAATGATATGAGATTATTTGTGGTTTAGACATTCATGAACTATCAGATCTCAGAATCATTCCTATCAGCTATATGCAAACTGACCTACAATTGTTTTTTTTTTTACAATTTATTCACAGAGCCATATTGAGATCCTAATATCTCTGAAAATAAATAAGACTGTTTCTTAACCATTTACATACTAAAGAAAACGTTTTTCGACAACTAGAATCCAAAATGTTATGGATATATCTTGAAAACCTCTTGAGGGTTTTAACCATGGAATCTTTGTGGTAAAATAAATAAATAAATAAATAAGATTGTGTCTTTTTTTCCATTTTTTAAGCGTCCCATTTAAAATATAGTCAGAATCACTTTTATTGCCAAGTGTGCTTCACAGACAAGGAATGTTTTGACTACAGAAGCTTCCAGTGAACATAAAGTGACGTGACAACACAAAATAAATAAGAAAAAAGACGATAAACATTAAACAAAGATGCAATTAGACAAAAAAAATCTTAATGTTAAATTGTATTTACAGATATGTTATAAATATACAGGTTTTAAGGTGCTGTGTACAAATGCGTATGAGAAAGTATTGCATTGTATTTTGTTATAAAGTGCTGCTGTGTACAAGTGTGTATGAGAAAGTATTGCATGTTTATAGCAGAGTAGGGCAATATTTAACTGTTCATGATGTAGACGGCCTGAGGAAAGAAACTTTTCCTGTGTCTGGCTGTTTTTGTGCTTGGTGCTATGTAGCACCGACCAGACGGTAACAGTTCAAAAAGGAAGTGTGCTGGGTGCAAAGCATCCAGAGTGATTTTGCGAGCCCTTTTACTCACTCTGGAAGAGTACGGTTCTTAAAGTGTACTAATGCTACAAGAACTGCTAAATACAACATATTTTATTAATAAACCAATTAATACAGCGAACAAAATCTAATGAAGTCATCTGTCTTTAGTAATTTTGCCCACTTGAAATGTGGCTAAAAATCATAGGTGAAAACTGCCATTTTGACCTCTTTAAAAACTATGGATTAAGTCTCAAGCAATGATTTATTTTTTTCTGTCAAATATAAATAATATAAATCTCAAATTTGAGTTAACAGTAAATGATTAGCTATAGGCTACTACAACACTGCAGTTATTATTGACAAATGAACTGAATAGTGTTTTCTTACCTGATGATAAAAATCATCATCATCAAAAATGTTCTCATCCAGATCTTTGAGGTGCATGTTGGCTTTTACTGCCAGTTCAGCCACCTGAAATAACACAAAGTGAAGATTAGTGTAATTGTTTTTTTAATAATTGTGTTTAGCGTGGGAATCTTCATGATTCAATCTAATCCTAGTGGTCACGACTCGATTCCAAAACAATCTTTGACTTACATTTTTTTCCTTATTTCTTCGGCTATGCAAATACATCTTACTAACTTAACATTAACCAGGAGAGGCGTTTCTATGCTTAGGTTTAAGATTAAAATCTATGTATGACAGTACTGTCATCTTAAAAACGATTGACCACATTTTATTAAAGTCATATTCTACACCAGGGGTGGCCAACCCTGTTCTACACGAACGAGCTCTGAATGTAATATTGAAAGTTCTAATTCCAAGAACTGTTCTTTTTTCAGTTTGATTAACTTTTAATGAAGATGAAGCAAAAGTTTATGTAAAAATGATAAGAAAATAATACTAGAATATCTTTAGAACATAGTAGAGCATAATGTTTTATTTATTTTAGGGATGCACCGATAATGACACTTGGATCAGATATCTGTTTGATACAGCATATTTTTGCTGGATCGGGTATTGGCCAGCTGGTACCGATCCAAATCCGATCTTGCGCATGCACTACTTTCTGTGCCATGAAGGTAGCCCATTATAAGGGCCTAGGAAGTTGTAATGTAGGTCGGCCTACTATAGCCTAAATTTTCTGAAGCCATTCTTTAGTTTAATAGGAAGCAAAGATAAATATTCAAGTGCTTAGATTCATGTTTAGATCAGCGATATGCCACCGCACCTGCCAATCATTCTACATTCATTCACAATTCAAATTGCGTGCCGGGTTCATGACAACACGAAAAACTTTCTCCACGACTATTAGTTCCTGGTAATATAAGAAAGCAGTGGAGAAAAGCATTTAGTTTAGCATTAAATGGGTTCATTTTGTCCTGAAACAAGGAGTTCATTGCTGTCTCTAAATCATGTTGCACTGTGTCAGTTAGATAAGCAGATTACATTTGCAACACTGGAGAAGAGAGGGTTATTACCTGCTCTTCACACACAAAGTAGGCCTACCTGAAAGTGCAAATTTAAAAAGGCTCAATAATACATTGTACAGATCTTCAACGCACTCATTTCTTCCCTTTGTGCTGCTCAGTTTTGAAAGTGTCCGTCGATAGGGCTGCACGATGTCTCAGTGATGCATCAATCGTGCCAAACATGCACAGACTTCTCTCATCCTTCCGACTGATTTTATTCTTCTGAGGGGAAAACTTTGAGTGCTGCGAATAGTTTTATAAAGCCTGGCTCATTGTGGTCAAAGTAGTGTAACTGACAGGCGCAATATGGATTGTCATAAACAGAAAAGGATTTAGCCTAGTATAGGTTACTCTCAAATGGAACATTGCATTTTATTTATATTAAGATTTTATTTAACAGACCAGTTTGTGTTTTTATAAGGGTGAATATAAGTAGCCTATTACAGTTTCCAAAAAAAAAAAGTTAATTAAAAAAGGAAACATAAGCTGGGCCACAACAGATCGATGCCATAACGAATGCTAAAATAAATGTAGCCTAGTTTACAGCAAGCATCATATGTTTAGTAAGATTGTGTCGTCTGTCATATACAGTAGGTATAGGTATAGGTCTGTTATTTTACTAAAGAAGACACATTATTTGAGTTTATCACAGAACTACAGAAACTGTGCCTAAAATAAATGGCACAAAATCGGGATTGCATCTGTATCGGTCGATACTCAGAATTTTGATATCAGGATCGGAACCAAAAAAAAATTTCAGCACATTTTCATTTTCAGCACTTTCTTTCACACTCCATGACATTGATGACTCAAGGTGTTGTTTGAGCTTTAAAATTCTTAAATTGCCCATATTTGTCTAAATTAAGTGAATTTGTAATTGTCAATATATATATTATTTTCTGTTTTCAGCTCACGCCCATCGCAATCTGAATTTGAATACAGAAGCGATTCTGAACTTTTGAGAATCACTATGCATCGATGAATCGAATCTTAATTATGTTATTAAATATATTTAAAACTTGCTGGCAACAAAAATGTCAAACCTTAAAGTTTTTTCAATATTAATAACATTAACAACTACAAAGTACTTAAATTTAATAGAGAATAATTCCTGTAAAAGCAGAGCAGTGTCTGACCTCTCCCTCTGAGATGGTGTTGTCTATTTCAGGAGTAACTGGCTCTGGTTTCCCCAGGACTCTGTATTCAGACCTGCGCGTCTGTGTACGCCTCACCAGCCTCTCTTTGTCCATTAAAACCTGTTCCACCTGCGTCAGGATGTTCCTGTCAAATGCTCCAAAACCCTGTGTGGCGGAAAACAAAGAGATTGTAAATTACTAATGAATTTCTACAAGTAGCTGACAAGCAGTGTTGTTATCTTTTTACCTTATTGTTCTTCCCCGTTGTTAGCCGTGTCTTGTCATACCATTTCTGGAGAGTAGTATCACGATACGGTTGAAATGCAGCAAAGCGTTTGGCCATAAAGTTGGGATAATCTGCCATTTCCAGTTTTCGTTTGGGAGGTCCGTTTCGAGCTGCTTTCTGTTCTACCTCTTGGTCATCACCTTCATTTTCATCCATATCATCTTCACTATTAATCTCTTCATCATCATCTTTAGCACTGCTGAGCATGAAAAAGGAAAATAGGTCACCACTTGAATGATGTTGTTAACCAACCGGTAACAAACCAACTTTTTGCTTAAACTACTGTAATTAGCTGTCAATTTATAGCTGTTAAATTATAATTTGGGTTAAAGTATTGGGTTGGATTTGGTATGCTAAATAATAACTTACTTTAAAAGTGATTATAAACATTTAAACGTATATCTTAGTAACAGTCAGGTAATAAGCCAGTAATAGATTTTATGAATTGTTACTTTAACTAAAACACAGGTGTCAAACTCAGCCTCAGCTTTGCACAGCTTAGTTCCAACCTTAATTAAACACACCTGATCAAACTAATTGAGTGCTTTAGGCTTGTTTGAAACCTATAAATTGGTGTGTTGAAGCAGGGCTGAAACTAAACTGTGCAGGGCTGCAACCCTGAGAGTCTGACACCCCTGAACTAAAGTGTTACAAAAATTGTAAACTACTTCGTGTAAAATCTTCAGAGTAAAATTTACTCAGTTCAGAGAACATTTGGTCCCTCTCCAAATTGAGCAAAATTTACTCAGCAGCAGAGTTAAAGTTAATGAGACAATAATGGGGTTAATTAAGTGATGATTGAGCACTGATGATGAACACCTGCATTTTACTGTCAAGATAGCTAAAACATATTGTGTTAATTAATTTTTTTTTACTTTTCATTAATATTTCACAATTTGCATTTAAAGTCAACAAAAAATATTTTTAATTCTTTATATATATATATATATATATATATATATATATATATATATATATATATATATATATATATGTATGTATGTATGTATGTATGTATGCATGTATGTATGTATGTATGTATGCATGTATGTATGTGTATAAACACACACACACACACACACACACACACACACATATATATATAATATATATGAAGATTATGAAGATAATATGATTATGAAGATAATATGACAAAAGAGTTTACAAACAGGATTTTATTTGATATGTTTGTGCTTTGTTCTGCTCAAGCTTAAGCTGATTTCTAAGTTTATATATTAATGTACATTTTCAGTGTTGAAAGCTTCAAGAAACATCAGTTGCAACACTAGATAACCGGTTTCAAGGTTTACTGCGGTTTGAAAAAGTCAAGGTTTTAAAACCACTCAAATTTTCTACCATTATACCGTTATACCATTCCTAAGGTTTATTTATGTTTTTTTTAAATGTATTTTTTATGATTTGCAAAAAAATCTATTTTTGAAACTAATGAAGATAGCATATGTCATTTATTTAGTTATTTTATTTAACCTGACATGTTTACCATTTTAAAATATTATAAAAATTTCCTAGAATAAAATATATTGTGTTCAATGGGAAAAAAAAAGTTCTTGTTTGTTTTACCCAGACATTTAAAAATAACTTTAAGAGCAGTACTCACAATACCTTGATACTGTGAAACTGTGACATTTCTATCCAAGGTTATCATAATCAGAACTAAAACCAGCCCGTGTCTATAGCATTCTACCTATCAATTGGATGGAGTCTGCTACACCATGGTCTATTTGTGGTATGTTTTGTTAAAATATGTAGCCTTTTTCAATGTATAAATGCTCTCATAATATTTTATTCAACATTATATTTATTTAAAAGCTGTTAAAGCAGATTTGTTACCTGCCATCCCCCCAGGTTTTGCCCTGAGAGATGGCTCTTGTTTCCTTGTTTTGGTGGAGCAGCAGATCTTGAAGTTCCAGCAGAGACCTTTGTAGAGCCTTGAGAGCTTTATGACCTACAACACACAGATATGGGCTTATCAAACAGCACGTCAACCATGACATCAATTCGGCACACTTTTGTAAAAGCAGGGCATTTACAAAACCCACCTCTTCTCATCCTAGTCATTTGTTGGAATATCAAGCCAATTCTATGTGTGTTCAATAAGAAAAGGTCAGGAGAGGGTTTTCTTCAATGCCAAAGTATTAGTAATTTATTAGATGAATAATTCGATGACAGACCTCTGGGTTACGTTACCCTAATGCAATACAAGAATTACATTCAAGAGGTTCGCAACTAACATATGTTTCCCTGACTCCAGCATATATACACAACTAATATTAACAGGTGGAGTATTGGTGTAACGTCATTTATCAGTCATTCTGCAGTCCTTTGGCTCTTATACCCCAGACATACTTCCTCTATCTGCAACCCTTCTCTGCATACCAGAACTGAACAATTAAGTGCATCTTCAATAGATTTCACAAATTCTATAAGCATCATGCTCCTTGTGACATGTCTAGACCTCTTATTAGACAGTAGTCTGGAACAATGGCCCCCCGCACTTAATTTAATCTTATTCTGCTATTTCCCTCTTGTCAGCAGTTCCTTCTAAAAGTATGCAGAACAGTAAAAAAGAAGAAGTATGCCTGGTCAATATATGGTATCATACAAAAGAAAAAGATTGATTAATCTGTTGTTAGTCTAATAATTTTTCTAATAAAAAATAAAGACACAAAAGTAATTAAAAAAAAAAAAAAAAAAAAAATATATATATATATATATATATATATATATATATATGGGTTTTCTTTTGGTTTTTTTTTTGTTTTTTGTTTTTTCCCACACATTCTTGCACTAAACTAGTTAAAAAAATTCAAGAAGAGTAAAGAAATTAACTCAACCACCTAAGGCACACAAGCCATCAAACAAGACACTGATTCCAGCTGATAATGTCTAGATGGGATACAGCTTCGAATACTCATGTCAATATACAATAAGTTGTGTGTTTCTAAATTCATTGCATTTAGGAACAGAGATTAGGTTTTTAAAGTGAATGTGTACCTTGGCTCTAAGGGTCAAGTCTTGGTGTGATTCTGGAGTCAGATAAAGTTTCAGTAGCCATGTCAAAGCAGTTAGTAAATCAGCATACTATCATCTCAAAAACATTGCAAGAATCAGATGCTTTGTTTCCAGTGAAGACTTAGAGGCACATTCAAATTAAGACTAAAAAACACATCTGTTTAGCTGTGCCTTTACCGAATGAGAACTGTACTACGTCCTACAGACCGCACCATTATTCATTTCATTCTTTTATAACCTTTTTCACACATTTGAATTTGTTTTTAGTCAAAGTCAAAGTCACCTTTATTGTCAATTCAACCACACAGGCTGTACAGGGCATATAGAGAATCGAAATTATGTTACTTTCAGAGTATTTATGAGTATTTGTTTTTAATCATTTTTAATATTTATATTTTCTTATACTTGTCTTTTTTATTCCTGTTTATGTAAAGCACTTTGAATTGCCACTATGTATCAAATGTGCTATAAAAATAAACTTGCCTTGCCTTTGTGACACCATACAACAATAATTGATATTTTTACATTGGGGTGGGGGTAGGCGTTAATAAAACACAATTTAATGGGTAGTGTAATGAATAATACTCTGTATAACTAATGTTTTTGCATTACTGTGAGAGTTGAGTTTAGGGTTGGGGTAGACGTTAATAAAATACAATTAATTTGTAATTTAATAAACAATATAAATAATTCTCATTATCTTTAACGGATTAACTTTCATTAAAATGCCTTAAATAAAACCAGCCATCTGTTGAGGAGGAAATGTATCATACCATTTTTTTAATCTTGGCATATATGTAAATGCACTCGTATTTATATACCAATGTTTGGTATTCATATAAAAACATTGGAGTTGCTATTAATATAAAAACATTAGTATATTAGCATTCATATAAAAAACAAGTCACAGCTCTCGAGCACACAGTTGAACCTGGAAACCAAAACAAAAACCAAAAAACATTAAAACCAGGTCAAAGCTAAACAGCTTGACAGAAAAGCAAGGAGAAAAATTAAATAACCAAGGCAAAACAAAAGCTAAGAAAAAAAAGCAAAATCCTCAAAAGAATGTGAAAGCTAAACAGAAAACAATAAGAAAAAAAGCTAAATAAAAGGAAAAAGAACACCAAATCCAAACTGCATAAAAAAAACAACCAAAGAAAAAAGGTAAACAAAGTTAATCAAAGCTTTACAAAAAATATTTTTAAAAAAAAATAAAAAAATCTATGCTCTCTTTATACAGCTCTTTAGCTAAAACGGCAAAACAAATCACCAAACAAGACAGAGCTAAACAGAAAAATTATAATTAAAAGATAATAAAATAACCAAGGCAAAAACTGTAAAACTAAGCCAAAAAAGACAAAATGAAAGTCAATGATAACCAAAAAAAAAAAAAACAAGGCAAATAAATTCAAAAACAAAGTTTTCTGTTAAAAAAATAATTAAAAATAAAAAGTTAAATATTTCAAATCTTTTTTAAGAAAATGTACCTGCTCATATGAACAAACCCATGCAGCATATGATTAAATTCACTTTACATAATGAGCACAAATAAACAAAAAAAGGCTGAGGGGGGTTTGCACAGATTGTCATCTTTACTGCTAATCAAAAGTGCACATGCACAGAAAACCCAGTCCCTTTCATTCCAAAGCAACACACTGTTCAGAATTCAGGAGGACGGCCCCACATCAATCATTTGCTGGCTAAAAGACCAGTGCAATAAATATGCAAATGAGAAGCAGGCAGCCTCTCCAAGCACCCAGATCTGCTTGAGAAAGAAGGTGCACAAATATATTAATTGCTCAGAGCCAGAAGACTCCTGATATTCAAACTGCAAGTGATGTTGGGATTGTGCTTCCTTGGGGGGTGTTGATTGACTGCACAGGAGACGTCAAGTTTGAATGACTATAAAGCTGGAAAATTTGACTGCATTGTAATATGATTTCTTGGTGATGTTGGACTCAAAATTAGACTCAGGATGGGATTTAAGCTTGCTTATACCAACATTGTAATCATTTGATTTAAAATACAATTCAAAAAATTTTTAAATTATTTTGCAATAAAATAATCGTTTTACTTAATTGTTCCTGCAATTTTTGTCTGCAGTTTTATACTAATGTAGGTTGAAGACTTTAAGATCTAGTAGGGCTGGGCGATACAGCTATCACAATATAATGTTTCAAATCATTCATTATCGATAATTTTTATTTTTATTTTTTTTTACAATTTATTTAGGAATATTAGGATATTTAAATTAAACCAATTTATTTTAAGTTACCAACTTTACTAAGGCAAAAGGTTTTAATAGTCAAAAACAAAAAATAAACAAAAAATTCTCGTCTCTTATTTCTTAAACTAAAATAAACATGAGTGCTAAAAAGACTCAAACTTAATAAATAAAATGTTGAAAAAGTATAATTGCTGAACAATCATCACAAATGTAAAAGTTGATCAGCAACTGCAAGGTGTGAATAATAATGATACAGTAAACCAAGAACTCTGTAAACTAAAATTCTGATAATCAAACCTGAACTTTCAAGTAAAGGAAATAGACATCATTTAAATACATATAGCAACATTTTAAATTGTGAAGTTGAATGACTACATTACCCCCTATAATAAAATATCTTTCAAAATATCTTTTAGATCGCTTGTGGCTGGATTGCACAAGAAAAGAAACCAAAAAGCCACTCTGGTGACATCCTTGCATCCTTTTTTTTTTTTTAATTTACAATCTCTTTATTGCTGCTTGTCATGACACTAATTTTCACGTGTTGTTATTCTGGCCAGAGGTGGCGTAATCTAACCGCACTCCTTTCACATGTTGTGTCTAAAAGCATGTGAAAAGCATGAGAAAGTGAATTTAGTTTCATTCAATATGCACTTTGTGCTTGTATTCCTCTGGCGTATCTCATAACTAGGTGACCATTAGCCATTTTTTCAGCGGATGTCAACAAAACAAACAAACTTTTGCTCCAGTTCCTACACTAGTTTGTATTTATGAAGAGAATAAAAAAGCACTGCAGTGTTTGAGTGCTCTGCATTCGTCAGAGTCTGTCATTACTATCAAAATATGTATATTGCATACAAAGTGTGAAGCAGATTGGTTAGTTCTACTTACATAAAATCGTAGTGTGCATGTAGCATTCTGAAATGTTTTCAACTTTAGTTGCACCTGGAAATGCACAACCCCTATGCGCCTCAATTGGAAATAGCTCTAAGCTTAGTGGCATTGCCTCGAAGGTGCGCGCTCAGCAGCAACATTTGAATAAAGCTATGGCGCTGCATACCATAACTTTATAGCAAACTTTTTATTTTAAATCATTACTGGCAATGGTGTTCAGTCAATAAATCTCGATACCGTCAAAAAAATTTGTAAAACATTTTAGGCAATTAAAAGGACACTCCGAAAGCAAAAATGTTTGCTTTATTTTGCGATTCTTATTTTTCAAAAACACCAAGAAAGATTGCAAACAGCTTTTTTAAATTTAGAATCTTCTGCTTTGGTAAAGAGCTTTTCAAGGCCTTAACTTTGCCTTGAAAGGGCAAATTAAAGGGTCACGAAAGACCAAAACACATTTTTTGAGATGTTGCGTGCCCCACAATGCTAAAAACACTATAAGGAGACACATATTTCACAAAAAAAAGTGAAATTTGTTTTTTTTTGTGTTATTTCGAGCAAAGTCGTTCTTCCGGTTTGAAAAGCAATTTTGAAGCTGCACCACGGCCATGAGATCCCTGTGTAAATTACCAGATGTAGACCGGATGTCTGTACCGGCGGGTACAACGTGACGTCTTTGAGCTTTCAGCATTAACTCATGAGAAAGACTTGGTTCGAACCAATCAGCACGCTCAATTTTGTATGAGGGGCAACTTCATTAATATACATGATAGAGTTTTTTCCTGTTACAGTGTTCAGAAGGCAGAAAAACGCCACATTGTGTTGACAACTGTAATTTAAACAAGTGGAAGATGAATAATTGTTTGGAGACACAGGTCGTCAGTGTTGCGTTTATAAATGTGCTGCAACAAAGGTTTTGTTTTTAATTCCCGGCTATGAAACCGCAGCATGTGGACTTATATGTGTTGTTTACAGTGGTCTGCTAACATATGACAAAAATAAGTTTGCAAAAAACATTCTACCCGAGTGCTTCTCACATCTGTAAATGGTAAATTCCAGATTTGCCGCTTATCTCCTTTAAAAAAAAAAAAAAAGAGGTTCCAATTGGTGTTAATTGTCCTGCCACTACAGATTTGGTATGTGTGTAATCAGTGTTCTATGTTTATGTTTATTCAGAGGCAAAACTAGTTAGTATTGTCAACAGTTTTTAAAGACATACCTAAGTTTACAGTAATATCACTACAATATTATGGACTGAAAGATCCACTGTAAATGCTGCTCTCCGAATGTAAAAATGTAAACACCTTAAATCAAACTATTACCGTCGTGTAGGATTTTCGTTGCATTTTGTGACAGGATGGACTATACACACATTGGCGCGGTTCGCTTGTAGTGTGAGTGTAAAACGTGCCAAAGCCCGAAACTGCAAGCGAGACGTGACTTAAGAAACTGTTTCATATGGATTTATTAATCAATCTTACTGTTCAATGAACGCAAACTGCCGTCGTTTATTAAAGACGGAAACCCCTCACTGCAAGACAGCTGCGCACCTTCAGCAAACCTCCTCATTCCTGCAGCACGAGGGCTTTATGACTGTTTATGAGCGACAAAAGTGGCGGATCTGTTCGACGAAATATGACTGCATGTTACCGTATCCCTTAGGACTGTTTGGCAAAATATTTGACTGCGTGTCACTGCATATCAAACGACTGAAACAATATAACTACAGAAATCTCCACTGCACTGAGCAAGAGCACTTAGTAAACATCGCAGCATCGATGGCGTAAGCGTGCCCAGGCGATTGTAATGTGAGTCAGGGGAGACGGGAAGGGGGACAAGCGTGCTTTGGCTTGGTTCGAGGCAACTGTGCATGGTGTGAGTACGGCCTTAAAGACTCAAAGAAACACAGCATTTTTACCAAACTTTTACCAACATTTTTACCAAACAATTTCATAAATAGTACAACTCTCACCGTCACTTCAGATTAATTTAACTTATCCTTGTAGAATAAGAGCATGAATTTCTTTTGGAAAAGAAATTATAAAATATTCCAAATTCCAACATTTTTAAACAGTTTTGTAGCTAACTTACACAATATACAATAATACAATAAAAACCCCTAACATTTTTATTCATTTTATGTGAAACATATAGGAAATAGTTAGGATACTGAACATGTTTTTAATTATAAATTCTCAGTCAAATAATGTAAATTCACTTACTATTTTTCAAAGCATCAGCATATTCAGCCCCTCCCCTGCTCTTGAACTCTGAGAATGTTTGTGGTTGTGGAAGTTGATTGGCTGTCACAAGAGCTTTCTGCATTTTGATCCGCCTTTCAAGCATCAGGTCCCAAAGGGCTGTGAACATTATAAAAAATAATTAAAAAAAAACATCAATTTAAATTCCACTTCTCAGATTACCATATGCAGTTAAAGTCAGAATTATGAGCCCAGCTGTGCATTTTGTTTCTTTTTGAAATATTTCTCAAATTATGTTTAAAAGAACAAGGAACCTTTCACAGTATTATCCTATAATATTTTTTTCTTCCAGAGAAAGTCTTGTTTGTTTTATTTTGACTGGAATTAAAGCTGTGTTTAATTTTTTTAAAACCATTTTAATCACAAGTATTAGCCCCTTTCAGAAATATTTTTTGAATGTCTATAGAACAAACTATAGTTATATGATGATTTGCCTATTTACCCTAACTTGTCTAATTAACCTAGATAAGTCTTAACTTTAAACTTAGCTGAATACTAGTATCTGGAAAATATCTAAAAGACATTATGTACTGTTATAATGGCAAAGATAAAATACATCAGTTATTAAAAAAAATAGTTATTAAAACTGTTTTGTTTAGAAATGTGCTGAAAAATATATTTTTTCCCCTAAACAGAAATTGGGGGACATTATACAAGAGGCTAATAACTCAGGAGGGCAATAATTCAACTGAAAATGACGGTTCAATTGTATATCTTGTTAGTTATTTGCAATATGCAAATGTGCACAAGCATCCATACCAAGCTGATTTTTCACGGCTCTCCCTTTTTCAACCTCTTCATCGACTTTCTCTTTTGAGAAGGTCCTCAAGCCTGATTCCTCCTCTTCTTCCATCTCCTCCTCGGAGCCTTCATCACTCTCTCCTTCCTCTTCTTCACTGTCAGCAGTTTCCTCATCTTCGTCACTGTCTCCCAGGTCATCCAATCCCTCTGTGAGTTTCATAAAATCTGTGCCCTTCATTTTGGAGACCAAGCTGGACATCTGTGAACCATCATCTCCAACGAGATCCTCGTCATCATCATTTTGATGCTCAACATCATCATCATCATCATCATCATCATCATCATCATCATCATCATTATCATCATCATCATCCATGCATTCCATGTACTTTTCCAGCATTCCACTTTCATCTTCATCATCAACACCATCATCATTATCATCATCATCTTCATCTGCTAAAAATGTGCAAAACATATTGTGAGTTGGACAATCCCTGCTTAACAATAAGCAATATATAAAGTATGTTAGTGGATTTCAGACAGAATTATACCTGATCCATCCAAATCTTTCTGTAGGTCTTTTCTGGATGTTGCCTTTCCACGATATCGTTGGTCACCATCAGCCAGAATGGCCCCAGAGCGTTTCCGCAGATGACCAGGTAAAAGCTCTTCATCGTTCTCATCACCTCCTTCATCAAACTTCTCTATGACTTTCGCTTTGGTGTCTGCAGTTCACATAAATGCTGGATTATTAACCTAGTTGTTATACATGAACATTTACACTACCGGTCAAAGGTTTGGGGTCAGTTTTATTAAATGTAAAAAAAAAAAAATGTTGGATACTTATACAAATTTTGAATGTTAAATTTTAAACTATATATATATATTATTATTATTAATAATATTATTAATAATAATAATATAATGAAGCTGGAAATTCATCTTTTAAAATCACAGGAATAAATTATTAAATGAAATTATAAACTTTTGAACAGTTATTTTATAGTGCAATAACATTTCACAATTTTACAATTTATACTGTATTCTTGATTAAACAAATGCAGCCTTGGTCCGCAGGAGAAGCTTATTTTAAAACATTTAAAAGTCCTACTGACCCAAAATTTTTGCCTGGTAGTGTATATTCAAAGCCATTTCAATATGTAATGCATAAAATTTGCATGCATGTAAGTTACATAGACTGATTAGTGAGTATATGAGGTATAATTGCTGAACTGCTTGTTAACGCAAGTATCTAATAGCAGATACTAAAGGTAATTAGGCATATAAACATGGTCTATACAATCAACTGAAATTAACTGTATCAGTATCGAAACTAAAAGTGATTTAACTGACATTGAAAATGGAGCAGTTGGCGACAGACAGACTTCATTCTTCTGATCATACTTAATGTATTGCTTTATTGTATATACGTGTTCAGAGTGTATAAATGCAAAAGGATGATAAGGTAAAATAAGTCAATCTTTATAAGAAAGTCTCATAAGTAAATATTAGTAATGCATTAAAATCACTAGTGAGAAATAGCCATATTATTGTTAATGTATAATTTAAAAAAAACACAATTGATTTTTATTGCTTATTAACTCCATTTAAAAGAACAATTGTATGTGTGTTAAATGTGTTAACAGGCACTAACAAAGAAATTATTACGGATTAATAAAGGGACTAAGCCAACAAGAAAATGAATGAATGAATAAATTAATTCATGTTTAAAAAAAAACTGATGCTTACTTTAGAGAGATAATATAATTCATAATGTCTTGGCCAGATTAATACGTGAAAATACCTTATTAAGTCTTCAAGAATTTGATGCTGTGATGAACAACAACTGCCAATACAATATTCTGATCGGTCCTAAAATACTCTTGTCTGTTAAAACTGGAAACTGAGGCTACAGTTTACACAAGTATTTGCATGCCAGAGACATGAAAACAACAACAAAGCATGAATCCATCCTGTTTTAACAGTTCAGATTGCTGCTTGTGGTGTTAACACTGTGTGGGATGCATAAAAAAATCATGTTAAACCCCCTACAAAAAGGGGTCTAACCTGGTAATAGCAAGAGACACCTAACAGAGAGGCCAAGTCCTTATTCCAGTTATGCATTTAACATTTGCCATAACAATTTACTCTAATTATGTCATATTGCTGCTATGCATTAAACACTTACCTTTCACTTTTTAAGTTCACAACATGTAATTGATATATATGGGTATTATAAATAGCTAGTCAAAATAGCTCAGGATAAGACAAAATATTTACAAAAATAATTAAATATGCATTGAAATGTTTACCACTTTTGTGACAGTTAAGAGGCTCAAGTAAATATATCATACTTTTTTTCTTTCAAATACTGTGGCAGTATCATGGTATGCTGGTGATATGGTATAACTGAATTTTAATATTCATATAGTAGTATACATTTATTAACATGATATTTAAAACCATAAAACGGCACATGTGTGTATCACATATGACTTATGGTAGACCAATATAAGCTAGAATAGATTAGAAAACAAAACAAAAACATTTATCCTTGTTTTTATTTTGACAACCGTATGTATTATTACTAAGCTTAAATAACGTCATTAATGTCAATAAAATCCTATGTAAAGCTGTTTCTCGGTACAGTTAGGCATGCAGACACATCGTGCCTTTATTTGACGTGATATATTTCCCATTATAGCAGCACTAAAACGTCTAACAACACATTAAACAACTGGGTGTGCTGTTTAAATATGATACCTTCATCTTGGTCGTCCTCGGGGTCCACGAAGTGTGGTAAAGGATTTAACAAATCCTCGAGCTGCTGTGATATGGAAGCTGCCATGTCTGTCCCACGCTGCAACTTACTGTGACATCATCAGAGCGCGCCCGAGCAGCTGTGACGTGAGTGCAAAACATAAGCCTCCCGAAACGCTTACTATAATTTATGTTAGACAATCATTTTATAACAGAGTTATGAGTGCCTATCAAATATGATTTTTTCTAATTATAAATATTCATCTAAAGAATTTGCTATTGTTTTTTGGAGCATTTCTGCTTATGAAGGGATAAGACAATCAGTCTCCCCCGGTTGTGCCACATCTATGTGCTAAAAACAGCTCTCTGTAAATTACTATTTACCACAAAGCCAAAAAACAATAATTTCCGCTCTTTATTCTAACGTGAGATAATCTCTTGTCTTAATGCTGTCCATTATTGGAACAGACACAAAATATTAATTGGAAAAGAGTACTTTATCTCAGAAATTCCTAATGTACAATAAAATCCATGAAGTGTCTTATATAATTAGACATAGGTGCTATCCTACAAAGGTTTTTTGTATTTGTTTGTGTTTTTTTTTTTTTTTCAAAAGTTTATTTCTGAAGATTTTGATGTAAATCACTCCTTCTGTGATAACCAAACTGAAGATCTATGTCACCTTTTTTTGGAATTGTGAGTATACCAATTTTTTTGGGAAAAATTTATTGGGTATTTGAGGTATAATTCCTGATGGTATGTTCAAATATGAAAACGTTTTGTTTAGGCAATTTAACCGTTAGAATTAAATCCAGATGTTATTTTATTTATTTAATCATTATGTTATTGATCTTATTATATTGTGGCCACATGTTTTATACACAAGTGTGAATTTTATAAGCGTAAACCTTTCTTTCAGATTTTTCTTGAAGATCCTAATCTTTATCTTTGATTTCTGAATCTGTTAAATCTGTGTATCTGTTTAAAAGATACATTTCTGTTTAGCTCCCTGGCATGCAATGTGATTTAATGTAATTTAAATGTTTCATTTTGTTATTTAAAAAAAAAATGCTTACTACATTTCAAACTAATTTATAAATGATATTATTCCGATTAAACATTTTGTCTTTAAATTTAAAAAGGATATTGATATAAATTGCTCTTTTTTGCGTTTTGTGTTTGAAAACTGTACCCTACGTCTTTTGGAACTGTGTTTATGTTAAAAACAACTTTGGTATGATGCCTTTGTCTTTATGTACAGAGACAGACTCTTTAAATTTAATCTGCATTTTGAAAACATAATGTTTGGGTATTTACATATTATCATCTGAATAATGAAGTTTTTGTTATTAATCAATTCATTTTGTTGATTAACTTTCATTTCATTGTTAATTAATTATAAGGGTAAATTTTCCAACAAAAAAAAATCTGTTTTACTTTGTTTAAAAAAATTATTTTGTACTATTCAAGGTAGTAATGGAAATGCTATTAAAACTTTCCATTTTTGCTCTATTTTCCAAAATTTGGATTAATGTAAAGGGCCCACTTGTTTGTAATTGCAAGAATATTAAATATTTAAAATCATGTTTTTTGTAATTTTTTTGTATGTGTGTTTATTGGTTTCTTTCTTTCTTTATTTAGTTATTTATTTTGTATTGTTATTATTATTATTTACCTTCTATAAGCATGGTAATATATTGTTTGCTCTATTGTTTAAAGCATTATATATATAAAAGTACATATCAAAATTATTTTATAAGGGGAAAACTGCACACGTTGTGTATCAACTAAACTAAACAAATTACATAATGATCACAAAATGTATGGAGAAGAAAAGTATTTAACCTGACAGACTTTCACTTCTAGAATCTGTCATAGTTGATGGTCTTTACAACTCATTAATAATAAAGCAAGCAAACATTTATATTAAAACGTGAAAGATTTACTTATAAAATATAGAAATATACAAAATTGTAAAAGCCTACGAATAATACTGTGCACATTATTTATGGCCCTAAATACAGAAGAAAAAACATCTATAACCAGCTTAAATTTGCTTGTTGCAGGTTTTACATTGTATTCCAGCATGACCATTTAAGAAATGGGCCAAAACCCCTCTAAACGAGCTAAAAATACAGTATAAATCATATTAGGTTTAGTTAAAGCTGTTCTTTTTTTCTTGTTTGTTTGTTTTTCATGCAAGTGGATAATCTGGTTCTGTTTCTATTATTCATACATTAATTTTTTGGCTTAGTCCCTTTATTAATCTAGGGTCGCCACAGCAGAATGAACCCCCAACTTATCAGGCATTTGTTTCACACAGCAGATGCCCTTCAAGCAGCAACCTAGTATTGGGAAATGTTTCTATATCCATTTATTATTTTTATATTCTCCTAACAATTTATTAAATGCAGATTGCTCCAGAAGTCAGATTATAGATGGCCTAAAGTTTTTTTAAGAGATTATCGGCCAAATATAAGCCTTTTTTTAATATAGCATGTTAAAATATATGGCAAGGATTTTATTATACGAGCGTTCTCATTCTTTCTAGTATGATAATTTCCCGTGTGGAAAAAAAAGGCATGAAGAATAAGCCTCATTTGTCAACATGTATTTATAGTTTTGTTTCGTGTATTCTTTGTGCAAACACAATATCGTACAAACTAGTACAGTAACTCACAACTCAAATATAAATTGAATTAATACAAAAGTTTGGTTCCTTGCTTGAAGAAAAAGTTTATGTCAGTATCAAGATGGTCTATTTTTAAAGTCATTGTTGATATTTAAACCCCTGAAGAAAACGTATGTAAACAATTGACTTATCTCCATCCACTGACCATATGAAATCCATTTTAAAAGGTAGACTTTGTCTTATAGTTCAAGTCATGTTACATTTCAAATAAAGGGTTTGTCTCTGCAATTTTGAGTTTCCCTTTTGAAGGCAAACACTCTGAGATTTGGTGGAACTTATAAATAGCTCACTCGTACACTGTAAAACCCAACAGTCAACTTTATCAATTGAAATGAATGTAGTTAAATCAAAATTGACTGAAAGTTAATTCATATGAAGAGTTTTGAACTCAATGTTAAATGAGTTCATTACCTCATTACTTCAACTTAAATGAAGTAAGTTCAAAATACAAATACATTAGTTTGTTTTAACCCAAATGGTTTGTAGCAATCGGTTTTCTCAAACAGTTTGAGTTGCCTTAACTTATTAAGTTTTACAGTACTCAATTGAGTTCTCTTCATTTATTGGGTTTTACTGTGTTCAAATTGCTTCATTTACTTAAATAGATTAAGTTCACAGTACTCATTAGGATTCGTTTTTGAGCTTAAATGGTTTGTTGCAATCGGTTTCCTCAAATGATTTGAGTTATCTTAACTTTTTGTGTTTTACAGTGTATGCACTCTTAAAAATAAAGATTATTTATTGGCATTGATGGTTCCATTAAGAATTTTTAAAGGATAGTTCAACCAAAACTGAAAGTTCTGTCATTATTTACTCATCATGGATTTGTTCCAAACCTGTTTTGAATATGCTGAAGAATTTTTAAAAACTGTATCCATTAACTTCCGTATTATTTGCTATTGCAAGACAATTGTTACAGCTTTTCAGCTTTATTCAAAATATTAAATAAAAACAACCCATAAAGGTCTAGAACCACTTGAGGGGAGTAAATAATGTATAAACCTTCAGTTTTGGGTGAAATAACATCAATTGAACATTTACTTTCCACAGAGATTCAGTACAGTTGAAAAAGCTTATTAATTGTTTTGTTTAATCACACTATTCCTATTGCTGCACAGCACCTCTTTTTGGAACCTTTATTTTTAAGAGTGTGGAGAGCAAAGAAAACTTTTGGTGTGAGATGATTTCAAGTGTCATTATGGCAAAGCCTTAAAAGGCAAAGAGGTCAGGTTATGATACACATGTGAACAGACACACCAGGTGTTGTAAATATAAACATTCTGTTTCAGCTTTTTTTAAACTGTCGTTGTCTATAGCACAGCTATAAGGTCTGCAGACCCACATTTGACATTCCACTTTCAAAATACACAATTGTCGCTTAAATATATATATAAATAAATAAATAAATAGTAACCAAATGAACGAATAAATAGACAGTTATATCAATAAATTACCTAGATAGAAATACCATTGTTATAAAAAAATCACAGATGAATAGTACATATCCACATGTTTTTGTCCTGAATAAGTCTGCCTTTTTGCTACCAGACGGTCCCCTCGTTCATCTCTGAGGACAGTTGATTGCTGTATCCGTTGGCACTGAGCGAGTTCAGGGATGTGAAGGGTGGAGTGGAGTCACACATGTCAGTGGAGATGCTGTGGATGGAGGCTGGTGCGCTGGGCTCTGGACTAGGAGAGTCCCCAGGGTGATGTGATATCATCTCACTAAAGCATTGTGTGTCATTGGAGGGGTGGTGTGCTCCGTGATGGGGGTCCATGTTCCCTAGAGGCGTTCCAGCTGGGCCAGAAGAGGGCATGAATCCTAGATCACCTGGAGTATGGGCTTGGGATGACGGTGGACCCTGAGGGAAGTAGTCATAGTTTGACCCCGGGCCATAGTATTCACTTTGATAGTCTGTATAGGATAGAAAGTGGTCATCAAATAGTCATTAAATAGGATAAGACTTCCCTATATCCTCCCACATAATTTATAAATTGTCAGTATGATTGTCTTGAATTTGTTGAGCAGAATGGATGAAAAGTAAATACTAAACATCACTATAGGCCTGCTTAACAGAGCTTTAGTTATTTTGTACATTAGAATGTTTTCTGCTTACATTTGTTTTATTTCTGAGCAAAAGTCACCAACTAACATAACATTGAGTAACAGTATAACAAAAACTAAATATTTAAAGTATTAAGAACAAGAAACACAAGGGCATATTAAAAGTCTTTATTTAGGAACCACTATGCACTGTAAAAAATGTCCAGATTTTCTCAACATGTTTCTGTAATTTTTACTATATTCATTTATACTATATTTTTACTGTAATTACTTATAAAATGAGCTAAAACAACAGAATTCCTGATTTTATATTTGCTAAAATGTTGTTTTGTTCGTTCATTTTCCTTTAGCTTAGTCTCTGATTTATCAGAGTGACCACAGAGGAATGAACCGCCAACTATTCCGGTTTTATGCAGCAGATGCCCTGCAGCCGCAACCGTTGGGAAATTGTGTTGTTCAATCCACCTAATTTTGTCAAAACTAATAAGCTAACTAAATTCCTTTATGTTGTGCCAATACAAATGAATTGTGTTGAAACCAGCATTTTTACAGTAGGCTAATAATAGCAATATTATTAATGTTGTATTACAATGTAATGTTTATGTGTTTTGTGTAGTACATATAAGCTTGCATTCATACATTTATTTATATAGATTGAAATAAATTGTAGATTTTGTTAAGCATGAAGCATTGATGCTTGTTTACTTTTTATGCTGCTATAACGGTTTCCACCAATGTACTGTCTGTTACGTACTTGTTTCTAATTAATATTCATGAATATAAACTGACCGCCATAAAAAGAGAAATGTCCGTTGGCCATGAGCTCTCCTGGTTCCATTCGGTCGCCCAGTGCTCTCATTCTCCTCGGGCTGCGGAAGAACATGTGTCTCCTGGCGCCCAGTGCGCTCAGCTGCTTCATGCGCCTCTCTTTAGAGCGCCGATTCTGAAACCACACCTGCACGACACACCAAACGCACAAAAGAAAATGGGACATTAATTTTCATATTAATAAACCACTGAAGTATTATTGCAAGCAGCTAACGTTGTCGATTCACCATGTATTGATGCTCCAGCGATGCTCATGTTTAATAGTCCTTAAAACCTATTTTGCCAATACTATTCACTAAATATTTTTTTTATTTTATTTACCCCTATTATAATAGTGAACTAGAACTAGAGTCTTAAATGTAGCCAAATGTCGTTATAGTGCATATATTTCCACTTTCAGAAATATTTTTAATTCATCATAAAACATTATTATAACTTACTTATGCTTCTTTTTTACTTAAATTGTTCACAAGCCACTAAAATCTGACTGGATAATAATAAATAAATAAAAATCACGTGACCACACAAGAGATAACATTATGAATTAAGGCGTTTGGAAATCAAGTTAAGGTAGGCTAATTTATTGAAACCATGGTCTACTTGAAGGCTGTTTATTCAACGCATTTTACTTCAATAGATTAAAAGAATATATAACGCTATACGATAATATTAATTCATGGTTTATTCGTGATATAACGTTGTGCGTAACGATGCGCGTTTATTTAAATGAACGCATTTTATATTTTATTTACATCGACAATAATTTTAGTGTCTAATTCAAGTTACATAGATCGTTTTAGCAAGTATTCAGTCTCACAACGTGCGTCTATGATTTTTTTTTACATTGCTTTTTTTGTTTTTAATAAACCCACTTGCCTGAATTACGCGCATATTGAGGCCGGTCTCCTGCGCCAGCTGCTCTCGTATGTGTCTGGTGGGTTTGGGGGTGGCGGCGAAAGCAGCTTTCAGTGTCTCCAGCTGCTTGGCTTTGATTGTAGTTCGAGGCCCGCGACGTTTGCCACCCAGATTCTGTTCGTCATTTTCATTGTTGCAGGTCTCCTTGTCTGACATGGGTCCACTCTCAGAGTCTTTGTAATCATCCTGTGGGTCTTGAGACTCTGGAGATAAGCTCGGGTCACTGCAGGTGGTAACTGTAAAAAAGCACATTTAGAAGCTGTTATGTAGGCCACTTAAATATCATGCGTAAATTATCATGTAGGCCTATTGTCTATCGAAATGCAATGCCATTCTACACAGACAACGCATTTTGTATCACTAATACATTTTAATAAATAGTGTCATATATTTTCATAAAGACCCGCCAATTGCCTGCAGTTAACGAACACGGAGATGGGAAAAACTAATACTCTTGATTGTATCCTCATGTGTCTAATGTAAATATTTTATCTCATGTAGGCCCACAAGGCCCAAAATCACCGACTTACTTGACAGAAGGTTTGTGTCTTTTCCATTGCTGTTATTCAAGTAATCCTCCTTGCAGACAAATTTATATTCATCTAGGATGTACAGTTCTTCGCCGGTGGAAAGCTGTTTATTGCACATAATGCAGGTGAAACAGTTCAAGTGAAAGACTTTGCTTCGCGCTTTCCGAACGAGATCACTGGGCGAGATTCCCTGCGCGCAGCCTCCACATTTAGTGCCATAACGTCTGACATGAAAAAACAACAACAAAAACATAATTGTAGTCATTGAGATAATATTGTAGTCATAGAACGTGAAAGGGAATATCAAACATGCCAGAGAACACAAACCAAAGGGTTACGGAAATTTAAACAAGAACAATTTAACAGCATTTTTTTTTTCATGAAAAACGTTTTACCACGTCCGTTTCTACTTAAAAAATAGCTCAATTGATTCCTAATGTCAAAATGCCTGCATTATATGCATATCAAAATGTTTGTAATTGTCAGACCCAATGGTGACTGTATTATTGCAGTCAATTTTGAGACTTGCTGCACATGTCTATGTCATTAAATGTTAGAATATTACACAAGGCAATTCGAGCTATTAAAATCTTTATAATACTGTTAAATATTGTGATAATGACACTGGAGTAAAAATGAAAGTCTTATTAGAGCTATAAACCAAACTCAAGCTCTCCAGGTATTATGATAAATATAACATAAATGTTACACGAAGAACCTTTAACATCCCAATGGAGATTTCATTTAAATAATGTGCTTCAAATTAGGGAAAAGAGTTATTTTAAGAACTGTTAAAAAATGTTAAAACACCAAAAATGGTTCTTTATGGCATAAATGTAAAACCCTGCTTTTGGAACATTTGTTTAAAACACAAAACACCTAGAATTACAATAAACATGAATTAAATACACTCCAACGAATAAAGCTAACGATTGTTTAAAAACTGTTTAGAAACCTGTTTAGAATAATAAATGTGTTGGTTCGTCTAGAAATTTTTATTAATGTTCGCATTTTTAAAATACAATGTCATGTTAAATATAACGAATTCTAACTTGCTATTTAACAATACATATCCTAGGTTTTTTTTTAAACATACATTATTTTACAAATAATAATCGTTAAAACATTTGAGGTAATTTATTTACCATACTTTACAGCCTTTTCAAAGATAGCATTTTATAATAATGATCAAAATAAACATATTATCCACCTTTAAAGAAGCACGAAGAACTACACAGAATTACTTTAAATTTATATGGCTGTTTTTAGGCTATGTCGCGAGTGACTTTGACAGAATGTATTAACAGAATATCCCTTTCCAAACTTCGCAAGCGACAATATACATTCTTTTGTCCTCGCGCGTGCATGTAAATGCAGTTCACCAAAATGGTTATCAAATGCGTGCTGGATGTCTGTGACTTTGCACTTGAGCTCATTCATTATTCAAATCCACTTATCGCATCTTTGCTCGAGCTTTTGCAAACAAACGCGTGTGCTGCGAAAAAGATTGAGGCGAGGCAGGGCACACATCCTTCAGGTGTAAATCTCGTCCCCTGCCTGTCTGACACTCATACCTTGTAAACAAAGAAAACTGTTTTAGGCTGTCACGTAACAAGTTGCCAAGCATTTGGGGTTTAGTTAATGCAATGCGTATTTCAGGTTTGTAGAATTTATATTATTGCATTTATTATATCATGCTATATTATTGCTGTTTAATTTTTTATATTACAAATATGTCATTATTATGTTATGATATTGTAATATTTTATTAATGTTAGTTTATGGGGTAAAATCTTTGTCAATTCTAGTTTAGTCCTAGTTTTGGTGTTTTAACAGAGAAAGGACAATAGAGGAGCAGTGCATGAGCTGAAATGTCCCTTAATGCTTAATTTAATTGAAATGCTCACCTGAAAAAGTCGTTTTTGCAGTATAACCTTCCTTCTCTAGAAAAACATCTATCAGTTAAACTGCATTTACAGTCACAGCATTGCACGCATTTTGCATGCCAGGCTCTGTCCAAGACGCTCAGCAGAAATCTGTCTAGAATAGGCCTCTCGCATCCAGCACAGTGGACCATGTTTTGAGACTCCAGTCCTTGGTGAGAAGCAAAAATCGGATGACTTGTGCCAAAAGTTGGAGAACACTATGTGGTCCTTGATCCAAGTAAACAAAAAGTCATCAAAAAGGCAGGCATTGAATATAATACAGCATTCCAAATTTAGTTTGAAGATGACAGCACTCAAACGGACAAGTGTCGGCTCCTGATTAGACGATTAAACATAAGCTGATCGCTTATCATTAAGATGGATAAAAAAACTATTTAGTATAGGTCTTATTTCAATCTCGCCTGGAATGATTAATTATTATATATTTTGTATTTATACAGCGCGCGCGGGATGTCCAATACTCGAAACGCTTGAACATAAACGCCTTTCTTATTATAAAATATATAACAAATCAATAAACTCAAAGCGTATCACATAGATCCCATGTCAATTGTGCGTAATGTCCAGTGGTACCTCGCTCTGCTTCTGTCGCTGGCATGCGCTTGGATGCTGCCGATAGACCTTATTCCATGACAAGTGACGTCATTTTGGAACAGAACCAATCAGATCGGAGTAATTTAGGTGAAAACACTTTTCAATGCAATTTCTGCTGCCTATAGTCCATTCGGAAGCAACACTGAGTAGTCTCAAAACAATCGCAAATGGTGACTAATTACAAAGATTATATTCCAGTGGAAGAATAAAACATTGTATATTGTATAATGTTTCTAATTTTCTTTTTTTAATAATACATTTGTCTAATAAATAGCTGATATACATTACTAATTAGAAGTTAAAAAATCAATATAATGCGCTTTCCAAATAAATGTTTTCGTGTAAAGAAAAATAAAATGGACATTAGGCAATTGACTGATTGAAGCTTATCAACTTTAGCATATTCTTTCCAAGGCCATTTGAAAAAAATAAACTGTAATAAGCCTATATATATATATATATATATATATATATATATATATATATATATATATATATATATATATTCATAAATATATGCTATATACTAAAATAATTGAGAATATGGAAATGCTTTTTCAAATTTCTGTTTTAGTATTGCCTGAAATAATCAAATGTTCAGGATGTTATAAAACAAAAATAAATTAAATATATAGACCTAATTCAACTTACAAAATAAAGTCTATACACTTTAAAATATTTGACAATTTGTTTACAGTAAATTACTGGCTAATAATTGCATTACTTTCACTGTAAGGTACTGTATACAAATTCACAGTAAATTACTGTGAGGTAGTTAATAATAACACTAATTCTGTATATATTTTTAATATAAAAAAGTGCCTGTATTAGCATAAAAGTTCATGTGTAATAATTTCTATGTAAGTGTTGGAATTCATATCACTAACATGCAAAAGTTATATACCTTTTTTTTTTTTTTTTACAGTAATTTGCTGTAATCATGATGGCTGCCTTTGTTTCACAACAAAATTCTGAGTACAAAAATATTAGGCTAAATCTTTATAATTTAGTTCCCCCGGGTCCCAAGTCCCCTTAACCAAGTAAATAACTAAATTAAGGCCTTGATTTTGAAATATTTTACAGCCATATATGATCCAGAATTTAACCACAATTTAAATAAATAAATAAATAAATAAATAATTAAATAAATAAATAAATAAATAAATAAATAAATAAATAAATAAATAAATAAAAAAATAAAAAAATAAATAAATAACGACCTCGACGGCCATGTGGGAAAAGAAGGACATGGCCGTTTCCAGCTCAGATGAATGTTCCTCTGCGATTGTTCTTTAGTACGGGTGAGAGGGCAAGGATCACTAATGATTATAATATAAAGTCTCCGGCTGCGGGGAGATTTTTATCAGCGCGCAGGGAGCCGTCGGAGGAGCTGCTCAGAGAGATACTGCGAACAAGCGTCAAGCCTGTATGCCGAAGATATCATTAGCTGTGGGATTTGATTCTCTACAATGCAATCAGAGAAGGCCTTCTTAAGACTTTATTGTTTAATCAAGTCCTATTTGCGTGGCGTGAGAGACATCTAAAGTTTGAAACAAAATTATTCAAGTGACACATAAATAAGCCAAAGCTGTCAAAACAATGGCGTATAAAACCAAAAAACAAAGGTTCCAAACAGTGTTTGTGCTTTGCTATTGTTTTTGGAAAAACCTAGTGCTGATAATAACTAATTCCCTTTTGCTTTGTTAATGGGTGATAAAATGGTTGGACATTTAGGTTTGTTTCCGATAGTTTGTTTGTTGGAACGTAAAATATTTTCATTAAAAAAAAAAAAAAAAAAAAAAAACGTTGTTTATAGCTAGAAAATAAATAAATAATAAATGGTTTCTTTAGGAAATTAATATTAATATATTTTCCAAAAATTTATCATCGAGAACAGTGAAATCAACACAGGAAGCACTGAGATATTTTGTAATTTATTTTATGAAGTTAGATCTGTTTAAAGCACATTTTCCGTTTCAGTTTTAATATTTTTAATAATAATATTATTAATAATTAAATAAAAATAATAATAACAGCAACAACAACAACAATAATAATAATAACAACAACAATATAATAATAACAGTAAAATAATAGTAATAATAATAATAATAGTAATATAATAATAACAGCAACAATAACAACAATAATACTACTACTAATAATAGCAATATGATATTAATAATATTAACAACAACAACAACAACAACAACAACAACAACAACAACAATGATAATAATAACAATGCTAATATTAATAATAACAATAATAATAATAATAATAATAATAACAATAATAATAATATTAATAAAGGGACTAAGACGAAAAGAAAATTAATGAATGAATGAATAATAATTAAATATGAATGAATGAATGAATAATAATAAAACCAACAATACTAATAATAACAACAATAGTAATAATAATAATATATATATAATAATATTTTTAATAATAATACCGATAATAATAATAATAATAATGATAATAGTTATAATAATTATAATAATAATATTGATAATATTAATGATGATGCTGATAATAATAATAATAATAATAATAATAATAATTTTAACAACAACAACAACAACAACAACAGTAATTGTATGTATTTTTAAAATGAGTATTCATTATGAAAATGTTTTGGAGTACTGCAGAAAATTTAACTTTTTAGAACAGCCAATGAAGTATATACTTCAAATTATGTCAAAGCAGACATGGCTTTATTCACAGCAGAAAAGTGATACATCACCAGTGTCCAAGTTGTACTTTTTATGTATTGAATATACGTCAAGAAAAATATAGACAACATTCAAGAGAGGATTGGGATCAGTCAACCTGAGTAAAAAAATACATCTGATAGTAAAGTTTTGTCTTTAGTGCTTAATGGATGTAAAGACAGGATGAGTTACAGAGCAACCTTCAAAACAAGCAAACCACCTTGTTTATTGTTTGCCGGTTTTTTTTAGCTCAGTTTTAATAATTTGTATTAGTAAGATTTCTTTGCATTAATGATGTTTGTCTGCAGTAAATGTGACCTGCTGCATTCAGCCTCTGTTGCTGTTAGATATGAGGCTGAGCTCCCACTGTTTGTTTTGGATTGCACTTCATCTCATTAGCACGAGTTAATTACTGTTAATTGAGTTCAACAAGATGAGATGGCAACCCAGAGGGACCACTCATTCACATAATTTGGGGAAAACATAATTGATTATGATTTTCCAAATGAAACCACTTAGCGCTTTAGCCACAAGCAGGTGGTTGTTTTCAAACTGCTCATGTTTTTACAGTTTAGTTCTGGGGAGTTGTAAATGAGGTGAACTTATTTATAATGCTTCAAAACGTTAATACAATGAAAATGTCATGATCAAGAATATCCATAACAGTAATTATGCTCAGTTTCTTGCACAGATTCATCATTTTGTTTCAAAAGACCTCATAAGAATTAGTCGGGTTTGTCTGCACTGTTAACAATTTCCTGTATCTTACAGTATTTCCTGCATCTAAAGTATCAGCAGTTCACCAGTAACTTACTGTAAATCAATTACAGCAAAAATACATATACACGGCACCATTTATCTATATAAATATTTACAGTATTTTGTATCTTTAATATAATAATATAGTAATATACAGTAATTTTTGCATTGCAACTTTAAAATACAGTAACATACTGCATAACTGTCCTACAGTAAGTCTATCCACTTTGCAGTTACACAGCATTAATGAGCTTTTTCAATGTGAATTAGGCTCTTGTGGTGTGGTCCATCCACCTCTGCTTCATTTAGTTTATTTGACATGCTAGACGCAAAGGTATAAACGTAAACAATATGGAAAGACTTCACTCTAATCCATATTGACTGTCTCTCATTCAGCCTGCCAATTGATATCATGGATTTGTCTCACTCAATGACATCCGGCCCACACCAGTGACATTTCCTGTGAGTAAGGTTCAATCATGCCAGAAATGTAGAAAAAAAAAATGGCATCAGCCCAAATATAAAAGTCTGAAAGTGAAACCCAAAGTGAAGTCATTTTTGAAAACTAGAAGTTTGCTTTGCTGACAAGTTTGCTTTTATGACAACTCTAGAAAACTCTATGGCGGACAGCTGCTTCTCACTTAGGGCTGTCTATGCCAAAGAGAGCGAGATATTTACTAATAGGCAGTACCTTCCCTCTGATGACATGTACAAAGGGAGCATATTAATCGAAAACTTTCTGCAGACTGTTTTTATCAAGTGTGATTTTAAAAATTGATTGTTACTATTAGAGTCTGGCTATATATTCACACATGCATGTCACACAACTGTGTTTAAACCACATATAAAGGTGATTTTTGCATATATTTATCAATGATTTTTCAAAATACAAAACTGCATAGCTTTGTGTAAAAAGTGTTTGCCCCCTTAACCTAACAACTGGTTGGGCCACACAAAACTGCAATTAAGCATTTTCAATAATTTGCAATGAGGCTGTTACAGTGCTGTGGAGGATTTTTGTGCTTTTTGCACAGCTCATCTTTGCAGATTTGTTGTAATTTAGCCACATTTAAGAGTTTTCGAGCATCAACTACCT